TTCTCTCTCTCTCTCTCTCTCTCTCTCTCTCTCTCTCTCTCTCTCTTCCTCTCTCTCGTCCTTCACTCTCTCTCTCTCTCTCTCTCTCTCTTCGTTCTTCACACTCATTTGCGGGGTCTGTCTTCTCATTTCCCCTTTGCAAACCCCTTTTTTGCACCCACCATTAAAACAGTATGGTGAAATGAGTCCCCAGGCCTCAAAGCAATGATTCTGGAGCTAATTCCTGGTGGGCAATTCTTGGGTACTCCATTAAAGATGTCGACTTGCTTTTTCCAACCCTTTGCAGATGTTTTTCTTGTGAATTTCAATACAAAACCAGTCGTCCCAACTCTTGAATCTTCGAGGCCAGCTTTTGTCGCATAACGGAAATCCCCTTCTATATTTTTTGGGTAGTTAAATCCCTTTATATATTCATTATTTCATGGTTTTCGTGTAACTTTAAGAGCTTCCCATTTGATTTCTCTGCATCTTGCATGAGTTTTTTCTAAGAAAAAAGGATCTTGAGCTCTTCCCCTCTGTCTAAGATATGACCAAGCTCAACAACTGTGGAGTCACCTGCAACCCAGAATCCTTTTCTTGATGATTTAGGCGATTTTTCAAAGATCGTTTGGCCTTTCGGAGATTGCCATGGAGACCTCCTGCTAGTAAGCGAGGTTTTTTTTGCTCGTTCTCCTCATTGCATTTTTGTAATTATTAGAAATCAACAGTAATCTATGCATGCATATCGAATGCAAAAACCCATACAGACACAGTATGGACACTCATGTCTTGAAATTCCATTCTTTGGATTTCAGACACACGGCCTGTCTTCTATGCAGACATGCGAGTCCACAGATAGACAAACAAGATGTCTGTCGGCTTTCTAAACCACATATCTCCAGATTGTGATACACCTGTGCCGGCATTGTAGGACACATGGGCCTGTGTTGTAAGACACACGTGTCAGCACTTCTGAGTGCATGTGTCTATGATTTGGACAGGCATGTCTTTGATTTGGACTCTTGGACCACATGCTTTACTTTATGAAGTTAGTTTTAGTATAATAGTATTAGGATGTCACTAACAAATTTTATGTATCATTATAGTTAAACGTCAGACATGGATAATAGGTCGTTTTGTCAGATTATTCAGACTTGAATAAGACATTCTCATATCCATGTCCTTGTAACTATGTAGGATATTGAAAACTATTAATCTAATTTTATATGAATTAAAAGGCTCTGATTTGTTGAATGCCATTGATCTAGTAGGTGTTTTTCAAGATCATATTAATTTGGTGTTACTCTTACATAACTATGCTAACTAAATAACTGAAAAGAAAGTTTACCTTCTCATTATTCCATTACAATTTTATATAGATCATGCCAAGTCTTTGTATGAAAAATGGATGCCTCATTTTATTTCTAAAGAATTGCCAAATGTATTATGATTACCTTAGTTGAACTTAATTGCATTGTATTTGATAAAAAAACAAATTGCTCCTAAACCTTTTAGATGACTTAGTTATATCATTGATCATTCATGATATGCCTCAAATTAAGTTTAGAGTTTTCATTTGTCATAAGTTCAGAAAAAAGTATAATGGTTTTTTAAGAAATGGTTTTTTTTCTTAACCTATTGATCTGTTTTTGGAGAATTTTTGAATTTTATAATTTTATTTTGTTTCATAGGTTCCTCATGTGTTGTAGTTGCAACTATTACACCTAAGCGAATCTAATTCCCAATGATTGTTGAGCTTCCCTTGTATTTCTTGCAATATTACTATTTTTTTTGCACGTGCAAGCCATGAGCTAGGATAGATTGAGCCAAAAGTCATGTTATATGATTGTTTCTGGCTTCTTCTTGCATATAGAAATTTTGGTAAGGTTCTCACGAAGAATTTTGCCAGGCAGAACCACGTGCTGCTCTGAATCTTGCATCATTTGGAGGCAGCCATTCCCTTAAGTTGACCACGGAGGATTTGATTTTATATTCAGCAAAGGCAAGTGTCTTATTTGTTGATCGCATTTTGTGAGCAACTGGTTATTTTCATATATGCGGTGTGTGTGCATATCTGCAAGGAACTTAGATAGCATCAGTACATGTTTGCATGTATTTGCAGATATTGCGCGCATATGTTCCTAGCACTCAGAATTGTTTTGATAGTCCAAGCACAGTTCTACATCCTGAAATGCGTTTTATTTAATGTTATCATTATAAATATACATTTGTAGTTTCTTACTTTTCTATTACTATGTACTTAATTATTTGAAAGTTCATGTAAATGCAAATATTCATTTTATTCTTAGTGCAGAGTATATGAACTTGGGCCTATCATTACATCTTTCCTGGATGCTCTTTGGACGCTTCGGATATCAATTCCTATGTTCTTGGAGTTATGTATAATTTTGATTGCGATATAACTGGATGATGGAAATGTTCTACTTTCACCACTTAAAATTAATGCGCTTCTGAATTTAGGTCGCTATTTTCATCTTCACTTAATTTTTTTGGGTAATTATCTTCACTTAAATTTACATTTATAATACTGCAGAGTGCATAGTCTAAGTAGATACGTCCATTTTATTTTATTTTATTTTTTGATAAGCCACTTCATTTTCGCTGAACTATTTTTTGCCATTTTCAGGTTATACCTGGCAATGAGACAAGAGTAATGAAGATGTTGAACCGCATCTCTGAGATAGGATCGACCATTGTAATGGGAAAGAATGAGGGGTTGCATACTTCCGGTCATGGATATCGTGGTGAACTGGTGAGGAAGATCGTTCTGATCTTCTTGGAAGATTGTGTCTTGTAGTTTCTTTGTTATAGTTATATTGATGGTTTCTCATTCTTGTTCAAGTTGCATGCTTAAAGGAGATCAAAAATTTTCCAAGAATCTCACTTTTTTCTCTTACACAAACATACACGCACTTTATACATGGTTAGGTATGAATCACATGTATATGAGAGATCTGTTACATTAGAATCATATGATCATTAGCAGTAACTGATTGGTAGTATGTAGTAATTAATTGGTTTTTCTATGATAATAATTTAAATATTTTGCTAAATGTGAGAATTAGCATTTACAGCATGACAGTTTGATATGCACAGAGCAGAAGGAGCATATGGTAATCGTTATACATTGAGGTATACTTGTGTATCATTTAAATATTTTGCTAAATGTGAGAATTGGCATTTACAGCATGACAGTTTGATATACACAGAGCAGAAGGAGCATATGGTAATCGTTACACATTGAGGTATACATGTATGATACAACAGCATGGGGCCCATACAATGAATAATTGAGAGTGCAGGTCAATGACGTAACAGCTCATAAATGGAGAGAATTTATTATATCTGGACTCATACAAAATTGCCATACATACATGTGCAACTTAAATTAATGCTTTTCTCAGCATCAAAATGCCTGAGTTGGAAGCTTACTTCAGGATTATCATCTGGTGAACTTCATCTTTCTCCCTTTTCTTCAAAAGCCAATAGAGTGATACTGTTGCATGCTTGATTTAGGTGAGCACTATGATTCTGATGTGATCAATTTCTCTATTCACTTATTCATGTGGATCTTCCCACTTCCTTCATGTCTCAACACCAATATGTTTGAACATCCGACAACAATGCCTTTTCAATCTACAAACAGCAACATGAAATGAATTGCATTTTAAATATTCCTCGCCATTGGCCTGTGGCATTCCACAATTCTGCCAAGATAGTTAGGGCTCGTTTTTTAATGAGCTGGGTATATGTATTGGGCTTGCCTTTTCGTATTCTTGTTTTTGATGGCACTATTGAGGACATCCTTTATTTGGTTCTTTTTTCCTATATGACCTGCATCATCTCTGTAATTCTTGGATCATTCTTTTCAATCTGCTGAGAGCAGAGTCTTTTGATTTTGTCCTTTTCAATCTGCAGAGAGTGGAATCTTGTGATCTTTATTTATGATATTCCATTACACCTTAAGTGATATTATCAATACTTCACTAACCTTTAAGTTTTCTTGTCTCTGAAGGAAGAAGTACTGCGAATCGTAAAGCCCCAACATTTCTTACCCATCCATGGAGAACTACTGTTCCTAAAGGAGCATGAGTTGCTTGGAAAATCAACTGGAATTCATCACACCACTGTAAGTTTATTTAATTGTCTATCATAATATTCTTTTGGTGCGGTGCCACTGATAAATATTTGGAGTGCACCTGAATTTCATTGACTTGCATTTATTAGGATTTTTCTATTCATTGCTATCTCCTCTTGGTCCCATGAACCTTGACATGTCACACTGATCACTCATTTGGCTTGCATGCTGTTGATTTTTAAGGCTTCCCTAGATCATTGTTTCGTGTTAATCTTGTAAATTTTTCTTTCAGGTAATCAAGAATGGAGAGATGCTTGGAGTTTCACATCTCAGAAACAGAAGAGTTCTGTCCAATGGCTTTACTTCCCTGGGGAAGGAGAATTTGCAGGTTGGCAGTCTTCAAAGATGCTTGTGTATCGGCCTATTATACTAAGCACAAGGAAACCCTGCTAAGACTGCTTACTTCTATCAGAGTGAATTTTTTGCATTTTCAGATGTTAGACTAGATTGGAGATTTTTAAGTTTATGTTTCTCTTTTTGATGATTAGAAGTATTCTTCTTTCTTTACATGTGCCATCTGTATGTCCTCGAAGTCCTCTTAACAGACTTTTTTAAAAAAATTTCCTTTTTTTAATGTGTGTCGGTATTTATGGACCTAGATAACACACTTTTGTTCCCTCTCCCTTCGTGTGTATCAGTGATCTTAAAGTGTCAAAGTATGATTTCAGGGAAACGTCAAAAACATGCTAACTACCTCGGGACTCATAAGTACTCAAGTTCTCTCTGGCTTGACGAAAGTGGCAGGGAATATTTGGAATCAATCAAACTACTTTTTTGGTCATATTATTACTTCTGTAGTTTAGTTTACAGTTCGTTTGTATATATAGGTTGATTGTCTCTTCAGAGACATCCGATAAAATAGTATGTATAGGTTCATTTCAATGATCATTTATTTTGTTATCATGTTTCTTATTTCTTTTCACATCTTCACTTTCTTTTTAGTTCCTTTGTTACTTCTTTTCAATTTTCCAAAATTTTCATGTATGCTAACATCTCAGTAATTATTTGTTTTACTATAGGGCAAATTTATGAAAGATTTTAACAATTGTTGGGTGTGACAGTTGATGTACAGTGATGGTGATAAAGCATTTGGAACTTCTGAAGAGTTGTGCATCAATGAGAGAATGCGAATTGCATCAGATGGAATTATAGTTGTGAGGTAAACTTGGCTTGTTTCTAGAGGACTCCCATTTTCATCCTCTATCGCATCTTGTTGACTTATGTTCTATTGTGATGACTTCTGTTGAAGTTATCTGATCATTCTACCCTTTGCTTCTTTAGCATGGAAATTATGCGCCCACCAAAAGTGGATGGCTTTTTTTCTCAACCATCCCTCAAAGGGAGAATCAAAATTACGACCAGATGTCTCTGGCTTGACAAAGGAAAGTTATTGGAAGCTCTGCATAAGGCTGCTCATGCTGCTCTCTCAAGCTGTCCTGTAAATTGTCCAGTTGCTCACATGGAGCGCATTGTATCAGAAGTTTTACGAAAGATTGTTAGGAAATACAGTAGTAAAAGGCCAGAGGTTATTGCAGTTGCCGTGGAAAATGCAAATGCAGTTCTTGCTGAAGAATTAAAGGCAAAGTTATCCAAATCAAGAGGTAGTTTAACGACACTGTTGAACCAATCAGGCGATGACGGTCCAGCAAAGGAAAGAGCTTACATAGAAACAGATGAAGTTCAAACTACTACAAGTACTACAGCTGAGTTTGACAACAGCTTAAGAGAAGAAGAATATATAAATGGTACACTCAAATGTTTTATGATTGGTCAAATGCTGCCTTTTGCTTTGTTCTCAGATATGCTGCCTTTTGCTCGTCAAATTTTCCTCACATGATTTGTGCCATAAAGTGCCCTCTTTCTTTTTTGTCCTGCTGTTTTACTCGGGCTAGTGCATTCTGCCAGTAGTTTTCAAGTTGTCTCCTTCCTCGGACCTAAATAAGTTCTTTTAAGGCCTTAACTGAAAACTTGATTCTTGACTTTTTTGTTTCTAATTAAGGTATTTAGCAGGAAATTACCAAGAGAGAAATTTACAAGAAGTTGTCACTTCAAATTTCTCATCTATTTTTTGCACGTTAATATTTATGTTCTCACTAATGTGGAAATTATGTCTATATTTCTCAGGTAAAGAAGTGCCTTTATCTGATTTTTGTGTTTGCGTTGTGTGTTTGTGAGAGAGAGAGAGAGAGAGAGAGAGAGAGAGAGAGGGTTAAGGCTCACATTTCCATTATATTGTTTCCATTTTCCAGATGAAGATGCAAATGAACTGTTCTTGGAGGATAATGTAGACACGAGCTCTGAAACAGCAATTCCAGCTTCAGACCCCAAGCCAGCGGATTTTAATAAGTTTTGGGAAAGAAAAGAAGACAATGGAAGCATATCTAATGTAAATGTTAAAAACGCAGAAAACAAAACCTTAGCCAATAATTCGTCAACAAAATCGGCAAAGAGAAATAAATGGGAACCTGAAGAAATTTCTAAACTAATTCAATTACGTGGTGAAATGGACAGTAGATTTCGAGCAGTGAAGGCAAGGATGGTCCTTTGGGAAGAGGTTTCTTCTAAGCTTCTTGAGTCAGGGGTTAAGCGTACACCTGGTCAATGTAAATCTATCTGGGCTTCGCTAGTTCAGAAATATGAGGTGTGTCTTTTCTGCTTATTTAGTTATCTTAGATTTTCCTTTTATTTCCTTGTCTAAGTATAATTACCAGAATTGCTTGATTAGTTGTGGGAAAAGAAGAATACACTTAGGATTAAAATGAAACGAGTATTTTCTCTGATTTGCTGGATATTACACCATATTGCAGAGAGTCCTATTCCATATTCTCTCATAAAATTCATCATAAATGCTACTTTTCCTTCTGTGCCTGTACCTTTATTTTTTTTGTTTGAGTAGAAAATGTTGATGGACTTTCAATATTAGAAGTGTAAACATCTCTCTCTCACTCTCTTTCTATCTCTCTCTCAAGTGTGTTCATGTTAGAATATATGGCATGCTCCTAGATATGGTAGTTTGATAGCAACAAACACGTTAGAGAATTTTTGTTGAAAAAAATGGAACAAGTTTTAACAATTTTTTGATCAGTTTAGCAGAGAAAGTGAAAATATTTTCTGAATTTCTTTGCAATGGGCCAATTCTCTTAAGTATCTTACCAAATCTTTTGACGATTTGTTTGGTAAGTTTTCACTGATCCTTTTGTTTAGTTATAGCACTATCAGATTTAAGCCTCTCAAAATTGTTTGTATTACTTTGTTCGACTACCCATCAATATTGTTTTTGTTTTTTGTATTTACACTAAATGGGAGGCCTTAATAGTTTAAGAATTACCCATCAATATTGTTTTTGTTTTTTGTATTTACACTAAATGGGAGGCCTTAATAGTTTAAGAAAGCTAGGTGTGATTGCTGTCTAAAACGCAATGATGGTATCAGCGAAATTTCCATGTCTATTCACCATCTTGTATTTTATTGTGCTACAGGACAACAGGGTTGGAAATAAGGGAAAAAAAGGTTGGCCTTTTTTTGAGGAGATGGACAAGATCTTATCCGTTCACCACGCTGAGAAATGAGTAAATTTTGAGATGTTGAACAACTACTTCCAGTAAGTTGCATTGGAGAGAGAGAGATAGAGGAGGGGGGAGGGGGGAGGGGGGAGTTTGTGGCAGATATGGCAGAGGATGGTGCTAGAGCTCTGTTCAATTTTCTCTAGTATGCTTGCTGGAATGCCCAAGAATTTCACCTGCAGATCTAGCTGCAACTGAGGACGAAAAGAAAGAAAGAAAAAAAAAATGGGCCTGTACAATTGAAGATGGAGGAATGCATCTGGATATGCGTTCTTGAGGGGTAGAAATCATAATTATTCTGCTCATGGTTGGAAGGGGTAGAAAACGTAATTATTCTGCTCATGGTTGGAATTTTGTAGTGCTATTGTTTCAGAATGTGTGTGTGAGAGAGAGAGGGTTGGTTAACCTGTAAGCATCAGTGAGAAAGAGAGAGGGTTGGTTAACCTGTAAGCATGTGAGAGAGAGAGAGAGAGGGTTGGTTAATCGGTAAGCATCAGTGTCAAAATTTTGTTCTGAGAATCCCCTGTTAAATTATCAATTAAATATTTATGTTCTTCATGTTATCCACAGCATTTTTCTTTGTCGGCACCATGGATTGGAAAGTTTTTTGAAACTGATTTGAAACCTGTAGCCAAACTTGAGCCCCCATTTCGTGGTGTTTGCATAAAGCACAAGAGAGGAGAAAGAGAGGAGAAAGATAGTCTCTTGAGTAACAGACCATTTCGTGTAGTGGATCACAATTAGTTGGAAAAAAGGTTTTGACGATGATGATGCGAACAGAATTGTATAATGAGATTTTTTTTTTTTTCTAATACCAATCATATGCCTTGCTGCATTTGTTTTGTTAATGTATTTGTTGTGTTTAGTATTGCCATCGCGATTTCACTGTATGCACATACTATGTTGTTTCATGCCAATGAAGGAAGAAAGCTATGTTGTAATGTTTACTGAAAATTTGGACAATTTTTTTTTTAATGCTCTGGACTCATGGCATAAAAATATTGTTCGTTGACTTTATCGCATCTTCACATGAACCACAAATTGTAAATTTATTTATCTCATCTACATTTTTTACTAAGTTTTATTGCCAAATAAAGAAAAGTTCAGGATTGTTTAATTCACTTAATTTTTAAGAATGTCTTTTCCACAAAATGTTCAGGGTTGTTGAATAAACACCACTTTTCTTGCATTAAATTATTATTTGAATAATAATTTAATCTAGCTAAAATCCCCCATTCTGGTTCACTATTTTATTGGCCATAGAATGGCTAAAGATTAGCCAGCTGATATTTTACAGGAGCTGATATATATACTTGATGGATGTCAACTCAATAGTATATATATACACATGTATGTATATGGATCGAAGGGCTCCTCTTGTGAAAGATGTTGAAGGTCAATGTTGTTAGATCCCACATCATCAAGCCATTCTCTGCAAATTCCCCTCACCTCCATCGCTTGAACCTTTCCTTGGTAGAACAGTTCATACCAATTATCTATATTCTTCGTACCCTTTTTTACTTTTCTCCTCATGAGAGCAAGGAAGACGGAGATTTAGATAACTATGCTTGCAAATTGAAGAAGTTATTGTCTTTGTTTTTTTACCGGTTCTCTAGGACTGCAGTCGGCAATGATGGCAGCGCGGCCTATATTGAGTGCAACGATAAGGGTGTCGAGTTTAAAGAAGCAGAGGTAGTGGAGGATCTATGCGAGTTGCTAAACCACCCTCCGGTGAATGAGTCACACAAACTATTGCCTACACTCATAGCGGCATGGGTTCTTCATTGTCCATCAAATTCTAGAGATCGGCAGAGTGGCTGGGCTACCAGAGAGAGTATGGATGCTTTTATGGAAAAGATATCGGAGAAGACTACAGGATCGGTGGCGCTTAAGCTATACAAAGGGTCATTGAAGGGTCAGTCAATGGAGAGGGGTTGAAGAGTGAGAAGAGCTTGTATCGACAGGATACATCATCATTCGAGACTGGGGATATCTATGATCAGGCAGATGCAAAGGGCATTATTAGGCTGTATGGGCTCCTAACCAGGGTGCGAGCATTGCTTGAGAGGGGGTTCTCTCTGGTTTTTGCAGGGGTTTGGGGCTCTCTCTCTCTGTCTCTCTCTATTTATGGGTTTTATTTATGCGTTTCTCTTGTTGCGGATTATGAGTGAGCTGTTTGTTTCTCTCTGATAAATTTTTGGCTTTTGGTGATTATTTATATGTAATATTTGGCTGAAATTTTTGGATTCTTAGATGAAGTCCATGTGTCTGGTGTGCATTTGTGAATGCGGTGAGCAGGATAGTAATATTTTATTGGGAAGACTCGGCATAAAATATATGTTCTCTGCTCTCAGTCATCCCGACTTAAAAGGATTATAACAAAAAAAAAGAAGAAAAGCACCCCCTTTTTCTTACTTTTTTTACAAATGAAGTAGGGAAGCTTTATATGTTACCTTTACAATATAGAAGTTCTATCCTCATTCTACCATCCAGCGCTTTAATTTTTATTAAGAGAGACATTCATCATTTGATATTAGATCCGACGTTTCAAAATATTTTATTTTTAGTTTTTTTTAATACAATATTTCTCGATATGAAATTTGGTACGTGCTATCTTCTCATTGGGATGCACCTATAAAAAATATTAACAATAATTTTTTGATAAAAAATAATGATCAAAATATCCCTTGTAACTTTCAAGGGTATTTGGTCATTTTATTTTATCAAAAATATTTTTTTATATTTTTTGTTAGTGCGAGTTTAATAGAGTAATGGACATCTAAAATTTGATGTCAAAATAATTTACAGAAAAAATTAAAAATAAAAGATAGAACTTCTATGTTGTAGGGAAACCTAGAAAGCTTTTCCAATTAGTTATGCATGAAATTTGAGGGGCTCTCCACCTGATAATAATATATATATATATATGAAAAATAAGTGAAATATCCCAGTAATTTTTTTGTTATTAAGTATTCTTTTCTCATTTTATCAGGTGCACCCCTATGGCAGCTGTGCACGCTTCAAATTTCACTTTGAAGTGATTTATAAGATGAATATGAAAATTGAGATACTCGATTTATCCAATCAAGATCAGACATTCAAAAATTAACTTACGTTATTATACATGAAGTTGTCCCAATCATTCATTTATATTGGATGGTTGAAAACAGGGATTTTATATAATTCATACGAGGATGACGCAGCATGTAAAGTTTTCCCTATTTTATCTTGCATGAAGGGCTTCTCATTGTATCCGCCTAGGAGGCTAAGCCACGGTTTTCAGCCTTCGATTTTGTCACCCACAAACCCTAGTCAAGTGGCTTCAACCTTCTTTGGATGTAAAAAGTGGAAACCAAGAATCACCCTTGAATTTATGGATTTGATTTTCTTCATGCTATAATATGCTGGCTAGGTCAAAGCCCCAAGCCCATGATTTGACAAACGCATGCAAGCCAACTTCATTTAGGGCCTACCCCAATTTAGGCAGGCCAATCCCTTCCCCAATGATAACATAAACCACTCTTCTCCCCCTTCCTAAGTACTGGCAAAATTTGAGTTGAAACCCCTAGAATCACCAATAATCCATACAAGAACATGTACCCCTGTTGAAATGGTGAAAGCGGCTTCGATCTCGAACGATGATTCTACGGTCATATATCTTTGAGATGAGCTTTGTCACAGAGTGACAATCGGTGCACACTCTTAGGTTCTTTACGATACGAATTGTCTCACCGGCACGAGTTCTTATCAGGCCAAATGCAATGGCCAACCTCTCACTATGAACACTTAGATTCTCCTCTTTCTCCTCCTCTCCTATATCATACAATACAAATGATGTGTTTGGAAGATGACCCTCAAGCTTCAACTTTTTCCCAATCTCATCTAACATCTCATAGACACTATTGCCTTGAGGATGTGATTTATCACCAACTAAGAACTTGTGGATTGTGTCTTTCACCTCAATGAGGCTATATCCAACCACTTTTGCCACCCCACTTTCCCTCATCATCCTTCTCACCCTAGCTGCCCCTTCCCATTTACCTCTTGATGCATAGATATTAGAGAGAGAGACATAATCACCTGAATGACTACCCTCTAACTCAAGTATGTCCCTAACTAGGCTTCTACCTAGCTCAACATTGCCATGCACCTTGCAAGCCCCCAATAGGGCTCGAAGAATGATAGCATTTCGCTCCAAAGGCATGGTCTCGATCAAATTTAATGCTTCTTCTAAGAATCCGGCTCGACCGAGAAGATCCACCATGCACCCATAGTGCTCAATTTCGGGTTCAACCCCATATTCAACCTTCATTCTAGAGAATATTTCCTTCCCCTCGTGCACCAGTCCGGCATGGCTACAAGCACGCAGTACAGACACAAATGTGATAGCATCAGGCCTAATACTATCACTTCTCATTGATCGAAAAATATCGAGAGCATCACTAGCATTCCCATTGACTGCAAAAGCATTTATCATAGAATTCCAAGAGACCAAATCTCTCTTAGTCATCCTTTCAAAAACTTTTTGACAATCCTCCAAGCTACCACATTTGGCATACATGTCCATCAGTGCATTGCCAATCACTAAATCCATGTTTATATCACTAGTTTCTAAGTAACTATGGACTAATTGTCCCTTTCCAAGGGCCCCTAAATTTGCACAACTGGAGAGCACCATGGCAACTGTAACACCATCTGGCTTTTGTAACCCCCCTCTCATCAAATTAAACAAATCTAATGCATCACCAAAACAACCCCTGTGGTTAAAACCACCCACCATAGCATTCCATGAAACCACGGTTCTATAAGGCATTTCATCAAAGAGCTTACCAGCATTTTCTAACTCACCATAATTTGCATAAACATGAATCAAAGTATTGATAACATTAACATCCCAACATAACCCAACTTTTGTAATCTCAGTGTGGAGCTCTTGTGCTTCACTAATGGCTGATACTCTAGCACAAGCCTTAAGAGTAAAGGAAAAGGTGTAACTATTGGCTATAAGTCCATGGGCTCTCATTGCACTGTAAAACTTGAGGCTTTCTAATGGGTTTAAGCTACATGAAAACCCCCTTATCATGGTGTTCCAAGTGTAAGAGCCTGGTTGATTTATTTGGTTAAAAGCCATGCATGCATAGTCCATGTTGGGTGGGATAGAAGAGGCACAGAAGGCAATAATTTTGCTGGCCATGAAATTGTTAAGATTTAGGGCAGTTTTGGTCATATGGGCATGGACTAGGCTTATTTGGGTAAGATTGGTACACCTCTCTAAAAGGTAGAGGCATTGTTTCTTTGTCAGCATATGGTAATGTTATGCCCTTGTCTTGAGGAGTTGGTGTGGGCTGATTGTGGCATGCTTTAGGACATTTTCTTGTTCTGTGGGATCAATTTGTGGTCTAGTTTAGGGCAGCTTGTTATAATAATGATTTGCTTCTATAGAATTTAATGTGGGGATCTTCTTCCTCTTCTTTGCCCTTTTTTTTCTTTTTCTTCCTTGTATAATATAATTTAGGGGGGGTAGGGCATTTTGTTGTTTTATGGACCTGTGATGGTGCCTCGAGTTAGGAAGTTTTTGACAAGGTCTAAGGCGAATTTTTGGGGGGTAACCAGAATAATTGGTAATATTACCTCAGCTTGTGATAGACATGAAGGAATTTGGGACTCACAGATCTAGATAGACTTAAAGCAATGGGATTTGGTTGATTTTTCATAAGGTTTAGGGTATGTATGTGATTTCCTAAGTGATTCAAATACGGATGGTCCTACTGGAGAGAGTCGGAGTTGGACTGGATTGGGAAGCTGGACCGGAAAGCTGCTGAATGATTCTACACTGAAAAGAATTTTGCTTCAGTCAGCGGTTTTCTAGTTCCATTAAAATTTTGTTGTTGGATATGGGATGGGCCAATTGGAATTCCACACTCGTGTTGATTCCAACCCAGTCTCACCCGTTGCTAGCCCTAGCCAAAGATAGCAATAGGCCTGGCCTTGCCTTGGCCTGATGTAGCCCGGCCTAGTTAGTGGTTGTGGCCCCGGGCTACGTAGAGACCCACTCTTTTCAGAAAAGGCCATTAAGAGAAAAATAAAATGGGCTTGTCAAAATGGACCCCTAACCCAGGTCCCGTTGGCCACCGAGATTAAATTACTAGACTGAGCCTGGCCCTCGGGCCAAATTCAATAGCCTGGTCCTTCCCGGGCTTCCTTTGCGGCCCCTACTCACCAGAATGATGGTGGACTTGTTGCCTTGTGCCTTTCATGCCCTTGTGATAGATGAAATAGCCTGACTCTCATTCAAATATGCTTCCCATCATGTGTGTCTATTGTATATGAGAAGCTTGTCATAAGGCTGCACTCTTACCTTCCCTCTTGGAACCTTAATTGCTTTACATCACACCATATTTCCCCACTTTTCAAAATCCCCAAAATGCCCCTCACATGAGCACACCCAACATCAGCTCCATGATCAAAGCCTGTGCTTCAAATGTGTACCCCAAAAAAGCCGTTTCTCTCTACTTCCATTTGTCAAATAAATTCGTTTACCCCAGCTTGTGCACAATTCCCTTTATTTTTAGTTCTTTTTCAGCCATGGCCTCTCTAATGCCACAGGGTAACACACTTCATGGCCACCACAAGCAAAACCCACGTCAGTTCAACCTCCATGCATCAAACACTCTCTTGATTACTCATATAAAATCCAAAGAGTTGCATTTGGCAAAGCAAGTCTTTGAAAATATGCATGAAAAAAATGTGTTCTCATGGACTGCCATGATCTCGGGCTATGCACGCAATGGCCGTGCCCAAGATGCTCTAGATTTTTTCAATGGCATGTTGTACTCAGGCATAAGGCCCAATTATATTTCTTTATTGGTTATTATTCGTGTGGTTTCTCAGATTTTTGCAGAACAAAAAACCAGTGAAATTCATGGGTTTGTGATGAGAAATGGGTTCGAATCAGAAGCCCCTGTTATAACTTCTCTAATAGGCTTATATTCATCTCATAACGATACAAAGAGTGCTTTCTTGTTGTTTGATAGAGCAATTATGAAGGATTTGATCTTGTGGACTGCAATGGTTTCTGTGTGTTCTCAGAATGGTCTATCAGTGGAAGCCATTAAGTTCTTTCGAGAAATGTTGAACTCGGGCAATGAACCCAACCATGTGAGCATTGTGAGTGTATTACCTGCTTTTTCAGACTTGGCTTCCTTGTTAGAAGGCAGAGAAATCCATGGCTATTCAATCAAACATGACTTTTATGCAGATACCAATTTGCAAAATTCTCTTATGAACTTGTACTCAAAATGCAGAAAACCGAGTATCTCAGCCAGAATCTTCACAAAAATGGACAGAAGAGACTTGGTCTCTTGGAACACTATGATTGGTGGCTATGCTGAAAATGGTTTCACCAATAAAGCTCTGCTCTTGTTCAAAGAATTGCGATCTTGGAGCACTGAAATAGACCTAACCACCATAAATAACGTGATTCTTGCATGTACCCAATTGGAAAATTCACAAAATTTGAAACAAATTCATGGGTTTTTAGCCAAATCTGGTTTCTTGAATCCTATCTTTCTACAAACTATTCTTTTAACTGCTTATGCTGAATTTGGGGAATTAGAGGCAGTGGATCAATTATTCAATCAGCTTGCTTATAAAGATTTGGTCTCTTGGTCAGCTATAATCTCTGTCTATGCAAAAGCAGGGCTTGCAGACCATGCATTGGAGCTTTTCAAACAGATGCAACTCAATGGGAAAGACCCTAATTCCATAACTTTGGTGAGTGTTTTGCAGGCCTGTTCTTTACTAGGTGCTCATAAACTTGGCCAAACCATCCATTCCTATGTACTTAGACATGGGTACTTTGATTCCAATATGTTCTTGGCATCAGCATTAATAGATTTATATTGCAAATGTGGGAGTTTACACTCTGCAAAAGCTTTGTTTGATAGAACGGATAGAAAAGACCTTATTCTATGGAGCTCTATGATTAGTGGGTATGAGATCAATGGATATGGAAAAGAAGCACTTAGGACTTTCTATGATATGTTGGCTTTGGGTTTAAAACCTAATTATGTGGTGTTTATATCTGTTCTTTCTGCATGTAGTCACGGTGGATTGGTTAATGAAGGTTTAGAGGTGTTCACATCCATGGAAAGTGAACACCAAATTAAACCTGATTTGGTTCACTATGCTTGTGTGGTGGATATGCTTGGAAGGAATGATAAGGTCAAGGATGCTGTTAATTTCATTAATGAGATGCCAATGGAGCCTGACTCATTCGTTTGGGGTGCTCTTCTCTCAAGTTGCCAGCTCTCTGATTCTCATGATGATATTGCAGATCTTGCAGCCAAGAAGCTTTTCAGGTTGGACCCGAGAAATGAAAGCCATTACATAAATTTGTCGAACATATATGCAAGCTTGGGGCAATGGGGTAATGTAGCGAGGTTGAGAGGGGTGATGAAAGAGAAAAATTTGAAGAAAACAGTTGGTTGCAGCTGGTTGAGTTAGAAGATACAGTTTATATGAGAGAGAGAGCATTTTGAAGAAATCGGTTGTGTGCAGCAGCTGGTTGAGGTGCAAAGAATCTATGTAATACGTGCAACTCCAAAAGAAATTTCATGATGTTTTGAAAATAATTTAATCTGAAATATACTGTAAGTTATTTGCTTCAACGAGGGTGTCATATGAGCTTATTACCTCCGAGCTTTTAGTTCTAGGAAAATGAGAGAAATGTGGCTTTTGATGTGCAGTTTTAGGGGTGTAGTCATTTGGGTACTTTCATGGTTTCTGGGAAATACAAGGTATTCCAGTCATTCCCTAAAAAAATTTGCTTGTTTATGTCATTGGTTTAAAAATTACTGTCTAGTTGGCCGGATTTGGGAGTGAAGCGATTCTTCAAAAGAAAACCATGAATCACCCAAGTCGGCTCGGGATCAAAACCAAGTGATTCCGCTTCTATAATCCCAAGAATCGCCTGAGTCATTCAAACGATTTCAATTATTTTTACATAGAATTGTCCACTTTGACTTGGACTCACTCGAATCTAGTGCTCAAACCCTTTGTGAGTCAATCCCGAGTCTGAATTTTCACATGTTTTTGTTATGGATCCGGTTTCTATGTGGTCAAGCATGCATATGTAAAAATACAGGTCTATTAATAAATCTATTTTTGAAATGGATTTTTGGACTTAATTTTTAAAGACATGTAATCTCTAACATGGAGATCATGAATATGAAAAAATAAATAAATAATAAAAACTAGAAATAATAATTTTAGTAAAAAAACATTTGGATGATTAGTTTCCATTGTTTTTAGATGGAACACCTACTTGCATCCATCTTTAAGATGGATGCTTTTACACTTTTTGGACCGCATATGTACTTATGCGGTCCAGCCCGCATATGTACTTATGCGATTGTTCTTGTTGGTGGAAATATGGATATATGGTGTTTGTTGCCCAATAATTACAAAAAGTGGAAAGTATATAATAAGATATGTAGATGTTTATCTTTGGTACAAAAAGATCATAATCACTGACAATGATCAAGTATACATTCATGCACTTGGGGGTTAAAAAAAAAAAAAGTACAGAATGAGACCATTTATCTTTTATACGAGGTGGTCACAATAATCTTGACTATTGGATGTAAAGTTGGGTGGCTGCAAATATTTCATTGATCAAGCTCAAACTGCCAAAGAAATTTTCTTGAACTTTGTAACACATCCAAACTATCAAATTTCACATCAAATGGTGGTAAGGAATTGTGACTACTTTGTATAAAATGTAAATGGTCTCATTGTATACAATTCCTTAAAAAAATATTGCGGTTTGTATAAAGACGAGGCTTTAAACAATAAAAGTAAAGCACACCTTCAAATAGTAAAGAGAAATGTGGTTTCAACCGGAAATCTTTGTGATAGTCTTAAAATATATTTTCATATTTAATTATAAAATTTAAAGGTTCATAAATAGTGCAGATTGAGCACAATAATAGTGTAAATCGAACAAATGTATGCAATCTTGAAAATTGATAGTCCAAAAATGCATTACAACATGCACTATTTCCAAAAGAAATTCATATGAAATCCATATTTTTCTCACCTTCACACATCTTGAGGTCCCCTAATTTGATTGTTTAAAGCCTCCCACTTATATGAACTTTTTCTCAAGAAAAACTCTTTATGGATTTGGGGAAATTTAGTGAAATGGGATTCCCTACTAGTAATAAGAAGAGATCTCAAAACATCATGTCGTGACTACCCACTATCTTGATTACCTAGCCTTGAGCCCATTCCTACTCTTTTTAGACTATAGAAATAGTGTCATCCTCAGTTGTGACCTCCATGTACAAAGTAACATTCATTCTATGCAATTGCAAATCATTCCCATTAATGGTAAAAGTTCATGTAATTTCGAGCTAATACGTCCTAAAGCTAAAATGCTACATAATTTCCCTATCAATTAATTTTCTTGATAATAGCCTAATTTCCCATAGAATTTTCATGGTCTACTAAAACGTATTGCAATAAATTAATAGTGAATAATAAAACCAGGTGTCATTTGCAATAATAAACTTTTGCATTCAATGGCTGGCACGGGGAAAATTTAATAGAATCGAACGTTTTAAAAAGAGAAATAAATGAACTCCCCCACCACACTTGCATAGAGAGAAAGGATCTTCTTGCCCTTTTTATTTTGAAATGACCAAACCAACCTTATTTTGAGCCAAAACTATACGCTATGGAGAGAGCATATTGTTATGGAAATGTTTCGAAAATTACAAAAAACCGTCCAAAATACACTATTTATGCAACTTATCCCATCCAAACCTTTTATCTCACTTTTTTCCCAAAAATATATTTTTTATGCAAATACCGCCCAACCAAAAAAGTACATTGTTTTTTACGAAAATGCGCTTCCTTGTACAAAATGCCCCTTTTTTTTTGACAGAAATGCGCTTCGGCAATCTCAAAGGGTGCTCTGGTAATACATTCCTAGAGCCATAACGCTCCGACAGTTGGATAGGGTGCTTCGGCACTGAAGACACAACGCTCCAGCAGTGCAGAAGGCGCGCCGGCAGTACACGTTTTGGAGACAATGCGCTCTGACAGTCTCAAATCCGGCAATACATGTTTTGGTGTCACAGCGCTCCAGCAGTTGCATAGGGCGCTCCGGCACTTAAGAGACATCGCTCCGGCAATCGAGCCACATGCGCTCTGGCAGTGCATGTTCTGGAGACGATAGCGCTCCGGCATTTGCAAAACGTGTTTCGACAATGCTTGTTTTGGAGACTATAGCGCCCCAGCATTTGCAAAATGCACGCCGGCAGTGCTTGTTCTGGAGACGAGGAGCTCCGATAGTTGAATAGGGTGTTTCAGCAATACTTGTCCTGGAGTCACAGTGCTCCGACAATATCTTAAGGCGCTCCGACAGTATATGTTCTAGACAGTGCGCTCCGACAGTTGCATACTGCACTCCGGTAATGTGTTACTTGGGTCCGGTAGTCAGCACCAATTGATTTTTTTTGTACAAAAAGGGCATTTTTGTCAAAAAATGAACTTTTTTGGTTGAGGGGGTATTTGCATAGAAAGTATACTTTTGGAAAAAAAGTGAGAGAAAAGGTTTTGGATGGAAATAAGTTTAGACAGTGTATTTTGGGAGGGGGGTGGTTTTGTAATTTTACCTAGAAGATATATACTTCCCTTCATCCAGCTGTCCAATTTAGATAAAGTGATTCACTGACCATTTGATGTAAACTGACAACTCAGAGTATTTTGTCTTTAATTTTTTCTACAAATTATATAAATATGAAATTTATTACGTGCCACCATCTCAATAGGGTGCACCTAAAAATAATATTAAAAAAATATTTGTGATAAGATACAATAACCAAAATACCCCTGAAACTTTTAAGAGTATTGTGATTATTTTATTTTATTAGGAATACTGTTTTATATTTTTGACAAATGCGAGTTTAAGAGAGGAGTGGATGCCCAAAAAGTTGGTGTCAAAATATTTTGTAGAAAAAAATTAAAAATAAAATAGTGTAGAGGTGTGACATTGTGATTGAAGTCATCTCAACTGTCCATTTATGTTTGGATAGGGGGAAGCATATAAGTTCTATACAGTGGAGGAAATATATTAACCTTCTTTAGATTTTACGGGATTGTATACTATGAGACCATTTATGTTTGGTACAAAGAGGTCAAAATCATTTTTTGGCATTGGATGTGAAATCCAATAGATAAAAGTGTGTCACAATATTCAAAAAATTTTGTTTTGAACAATGTGCCTAAACAATAATATATTCTCAACCACCTTATTTCAAATCTAAAGGTTAGTGATAATTGTGACCTCCTTATATGAAAAACACATTGTCTCATTGTATATATTTCTATTTTTTATTCACTCCCTCATAGTAGAACTCTATCTTACTATGTAAAAACGTTTTTAGTATTTGAGATATTTGGATTTAACCTTTTCAACATAGTGATGAACTACAGGAAAACAAAGAAAAGAAAAGGGAGGGGATTATATGTGCATTTGAAAAATACATCATTCTAATATTGACTAAAAACTCAAATTTAAAAACTCGAAAACTTTTTTTTTTTTTCTTTCAAAAAATATTAATCCAGGAATGGTTTTAGTCAAAAAGAAAAAAGGAAAAAAAAAATCATACAATGATTTTAAAGTGTATTTTAAAATATTTATTAAATAAAAAATAAAAAAAATCTTCTAAACATCTATTTTGCCCTATATGTTTTATTCGATGAGATATAATTATTACACATTCCTTTCATAATGGCAAAACGGCCTACCAAAATAAGGCAGTTTTGGTCAATTCGAACGTTATGGGGCTATTATGCATTTGTTTTAAGGAGGAACTTGTAGGGAGCATCTTCTTTCTTTGAAAGAGAGAGAGAGAGATCAAGACTTTGTGAAGTATGGTTGGAGTCCTAGAGGTACTTCTTGTGGGAGCAAAAGATCTACACAACACCAATTTCATCGGTACTCCTCTCTCTCATGGTACAAGATTTGGACTATTTTTCTATTGTGCATGTCATCTTTGTGCATGGGCTATGCTAATCTTCTCTGTTCTGTTCCAATTTTAGTGGGTCTCTTCACAGGGACCCTGTGTACCCCTCCCTAGACATGTATTTGGATGTGAAAGAGCCCAACAATTAATAAGGAAGAAGGTTGACATACAAATTCGCACGCGCACAAACACACTAACACAATGATTTTTGGTGTGAACACCGGAAAGTAGTGTAAAGCTTCACAATGCTCAGGGCAGTGGGGTGCCACAACATGAAATCTAGAGTTCCATTCTTACCGACGTTCTAAGTTAATATTTAAGAAAAAAACAATGAAAGTGCCACAACATGAAATCTAGAGTTCCATTCTTACCGAGATTTCAAGTTAATATTTAACGGAAAAACAATGAAAGAGAGAGAGAGATAGTCCGGATAATTTCATCTGTGAAAGAAGAGAGGTTTCCTTGGGTCAGTCAAATGAATTTGAGTATCTTATCAGAAGTCTGTTTCCTAGGTTGAACTAAAGTTAGAGCCATAAGAATGGAGGTTAAGACGTTATGTTGAGGCATTAGGCCCATTACCTTTTTAGGATCCTAAGTGATTTAAGGGCTTAACTTTTGATGCTTTTATCACCTAAGAGTTTTGAATTGGTTAGGTAGTTAACATTTGGTATCATAACAACTACAGCGACCCAAGTTCAAATCCTATAGAACCTAAAATAATATCTTATTACATGTCATGGTGGTATTTTACCATCCTAGATGGTTTAAAAGCCTAAATTTCCACATTTTCAAACCCAAGAGTTTTGAAATTAGGAACCTAACGTAACCACCCATGCCCTAACCCATTCCTATCAAGGAATTGAGTCTTGGAGGTGCACAAACTTTCATCTTGATACCTAACATAACCACCAATGCCCTAACCCATTCCTGAGTCTTGGAGGTGCACAAACTTTCTCCCAATCTCGAGTGTGTTACAAAATATATTTATAATTTTAATTTATTTTAAAATTACTTTTATGGTTGGTCGTTGAGGAGTTACATCCCAAATTATGGTATTCAAATTCGAGGTGATAGAGTTTTATCCAAGGGAGAGGGAGATAATGTTGGATAGGGATTGAATGTTGGATATGCTCCCGCGGGAGCACAAAATCTTTGGGCCTATAGATTCGTTAAAAGTTTGGACTTCGCTATCAGTTACCTTTACTCGCCAATGCGATTAATGCCACTTATCAAGTTCATCATCAAAAAAAACCTTTTTTCAACTAATTAGGATATAATATATGACTACTTATCCATTAATTTACTTTATTAAAGGCACATACCTTGTCTTACTACTTTTAACTATATTTTTTTAAGCTTACCCTTTATCATTTTCAAGCCTTTCACTTGATCAAGTTGTTATTTTTATTTATTTTTAGTTTAAGAATGGCCTCAAGGCTATGTAGTTAGGATGGCGGGGCACCAAATGTGGTGTCTTGAGTTCCAATCATACAATGGGTTGGGGACCCCTTCCTTGACGAGCACAAAAAAAAACACGTTTTTCCTGAACCGTTATACCGCAAAATATTAAGATTTTTAACACTAACTTCTCAATATCAGGAGGTCCGGATTCTTACATTGTATTGCAGTGCGGCAATCAGACTCTTCAGAGCCGAGTTGCTTCAGGTTCTCTCTCTCAAGCATGTATTTTCTGGTGAATGTATTATGATCCTTTGTGTGTGTGAGAGAGAGCCATCTTCTCATTAATTTTGTTTTAATTCTTGGGTGTGGAATTTATAGGATAATAAGATTAAGATTTGGTTGTCCAGGGGTTCACAATGGAGCAGCTATATGGAATCAGAAATTGGTATTTAGAATGTCAGGTTCAGCAAGAGAAAATGTGAAGCATATAAGATTGCTGATAATGGAGAAGCATGCTTTGAGACCCCATGATTTCATCGGTGAAACTACGTAAGAAAACACTTGCATCCCTCTCTCTGCATGAAGCAAGTTTTAGGGGAAAGAAAACTACAAGACTCGGGATCTCTTTGAACCCAAAAGCTCATATGAGAGAGAGAGATTTTGAGGTACATTGATAGCATTTATCAGTGTTGGAAAGAGTGACTCGGGCCAGTTGCTCGGCCAACGCCCGAGTTGGGCTGACTTCTCAGCAAGACTAAAACGTGTTACAAAATACAAAAATATAAAAAAAATCCAAAAAATAGGAAAATATGAAGCAACATTAACAAAAACACATCTAAATCTGGTTGGAAAAATAGTGAAAAAAAGGATTTTGAAAAAATCAATTTGAGACAAGGGGAATTTTAAAAATTATACAAAAAAGACGGGAAAATATATAAATAAATATTTATGGCCAAAAACAGTTTTCAATCTTTTTCAAAATGATAAAAAAACATAAAAAATATATATTACTAATAAATTTCCTACTTTTAGAAAAAAAAATTTTAATTTTTTTTTAAAAAATATTATATATATTTATCATTATTACAAAATTACCTCAACATTTATATTATTACATTTATACCCATTTTTTCAACTTCACAACCATTTCGTCGAGATGCAGTTTTTTTAAAACAATATGGATTTGCCTTTTTCGGGTTTTCAAAAAAAAAAAATTTAAAATTTTTTGATTTTTCAAAACCAAAATTTAATAATTTTTAGATTTTGAAATCCAAATTTAAGATATCCAGGGCAAGTTCATGAGGCGATTTAAGCCCATGAAAACTGCTCTCTCTCTCTCTCTGGGGGAATTTGACGCTGTCTATGAATAGAACGCTCTCTCTCTATGGGATTCTTCTATGGGATTCTTCTATGGATTGACCGTCTCTTAAGCCATATAGGAGTTTTTTTTCTCGTGAAAAGTAAAGTACCATTCTCTCTCTCCATAACTTTATCTCTTTCGTGTTTTTACAGAAATGCCTCTTTGTCTCTGTGTTGCTCGCAATGGGTGCTTTTTTTCATGACAATGACTACAAGCTCTCTCTCTCTAGACTTCTCCCCACCTTTTTATTTACTCTCTCACTACCCTGCTTCTAGAGAGAATAAACGGCTTTTTCCTTCTCTTGCTGCCCCGGGAGTAGAGAGAGAAACTGTTTTTAATCTTCGCTCCTCAGTTTTTCCCTCCTGCATCAAGAACCCAGAGTGAGAAAATGTATATAAACTTGCTTTGGATTCTCTTGTTAAATTAGGATTTCCAAAATCAGAAAATCATTAATTTTTAGTTTTTGAAAAATCGAAAATTTTAAACATTTCGATTTTTGAAAAATAAAATAAAAAAACAGAACTGTTTTTTTTAAAAAAAAATTTGTTAGTAAGTTGAAAAAACTGGTACATATGTAATAATAGAAACTTGACGTTAATCCTATAATAACGATAAATATAACAGATATATACGTTATTTTTTCCTTACTTTTAAGATCCCCTTTTCCTTATTTTTAAGATCCCCGAGTTGAACACCCAACTTGGGGATACTCAGGTTCAACTCGGGGATACTCAAGCTCGCCAGGTAGCGAGTCTTGACTTCCCTGAGTAATCAAACACTTGCTAATATTATCTTATCTCGAAATGAAACCGACAGTCTGCCCTAGCGTCAATTTTGTGAACATAATTTTCTAAATCAGATTCTAAGATTGAAACTAACTTTCATATAACCTAGAGATCTTTAATTTGGGTTGAACAGCAGTTATACAAACTAGACATATGAGAAAAATGATCACACAGAACCAAAATACAAACCCTAACTTCAGTTTGGACTTGCAAGATGTCCTCGTTTTTGGCCACCTCCATTTTGGTAACAACCAAGATACAACTAGGTTCACGTCAGAGTGCCCGGTGCAGCACCAATTGAGTTTCTAATCTGCAAACTTCACAAAAACCATAGCTTCTTTGATTTGAGCTTCGATTTACAACAAGCCATCAAAAACTCCTAAATATGGATAGTATATACTGGGTAAAACATAGAGTTATAACCTGTTTTTGGTAGACCATGGTGAAGAAACCATCAGAATATAATCAACTTTTGAAAAGAAAATCTTAAGAAGGGAAATTATCAAATTACCTATAAGTGAACACTTTTATCTCTATTTTTCTTATGTAATTTCAAATACTGATAAAACACACATGGCCATGAGTTAGAATAGTTGCAGAAGGGTAAAATAAAATATTGAATAGTTCATTCCTTTAGGATCTTTTGATAAATTTTCCTCTTAACCAAAAGATCCTCTTCAAATGAAAGATAGTGGTTTCAAAGACGATCATTGTCATGGACAAGTGTTACTAAGGGCACACATGTACATCATGTAAGTCACACGTGGCCAACACACGCAAATACGAGTGACACCTATCTAGACACTCGCGTACGCGTGTGGGTATGTGTGTGTGTGAGAGAGAGACAAATATCAAGTTGCCTAATTTTGTTCAACTACCATATATGAAACAATTGCCTTGACAATTGAATTAAACTCTTCTAAATCATCATTTGCAGAATAAATATAAGAGGAATACTAAGTGAAGCAAGCAAGTCAGGCTGTATTGAACTGAAACCAGCTCCTTACAATGTCGTCCTAAGGGACCACACATATTGCGGTGAAATAACAGTTGGTCTCAAGTTCATCATAAAGGTACCATCTTATCATCCTCCTCTTTTTTCTCATTGCCACCTATATTCCTTTTTGCATCATTTTATTAACTACACAGTTATAATTTGCATTAAAGATGCATTTCATCCATTACTCAGTAGTATGAAAATTAAAGGCATTTTGATCATTTAGATTATGCTGATGTAGAATGTCATAATATATGCTAAAATTATCACAATTTGCATTACAAGTGCTAAACTCTTAAGAATTAGTGAAAGTGGAATAACAATTCAGTGTTTAAAAAATCAAACGCAGGCTCCAACATGTCATGGGTCCAAGCCTGAGTTTCCTTCTCCGAATCAGGTGAGTCCAATTTGAACGGCTATTTCTAATAAGAATTATAATCATATGGAAAAAATCTGGAGACTCGGGCAATTTCTCAATTTTTCAGCCCAGAATTGACTAGCTCCCGATCCCGGAAGCCAAGCCGACCGACAATTTTAAATCACCGGATCATGTATAAGCCAAGATACATGGCTTCCATAACTTTGGCACATCCACACCATCAATTTTAACAAACAATCCAATGAAGCAATGTGGGCTAATAAATTTGCCCGGATTCTGGGCCCACCCAACATATGATAATGTGAAATCCAGACCATCTATAAAAATGGGGCATCTAGGACAAATAAACCTAGCGTTTATAATCATTCTCCTGTTTTCAAGTAAAAGACAACCATAATAGTATTGATCCTCTCCAGCATACCTCTCCTCTGGAAAATACACTATACTGACACCATAGCATTTAAATTATAACCTAATTTAAGGATATAACGAGCACATATTGAGCAATTGTAGGCAGAAAAGCCACCATCGCATTTAAATTATGACATAATTTAAGGATATAATGCGCATATATTGAGTAATTGCAGGCAGAAACGCTTCGGAAAGCGCAAGAACAAGAGCATGTCACATTTGATTCTACATGTATGAGAAGAACTTGGTCATGGTTTGGGACAAGGATGAACTTTAGTTTCAACTTCTGGCTTCCATGGAGGCATAGAGACCCCAACACTTGCCGATAGAAAGTTTTCATGACAAGCCCAAGAAGCTTTTGCAACAACGCTGCACCTATGAATATATCACAAGTGCATGTCAGTTATCTCTAGAGACCTATGCATTGATATGGAAATCAACGGTTTCCTAACTTTGCATTCTCATCTAATTCATAACTTTTGCAAATTTTTGAGAAACAAAATAAGTCATGTCTAGACCCCGCTCCTCACCCCCCTCCCCCCCCTCCTCTCTCTCTCTCTCTCAAGTTTATAATCCTTTTAATCTCTCCTCTCTATAGATTTGCAATCAAGTTACCTCAGGTGTGGGCAACACAAATAAGACGTGATGTTTGGTAGTTTCTTTCCTGCAAATTTAGTGATAGATAAGAAGTGTGCCTTTTTCTAACATATATGTAAGAGTCTTAATCTTTGGAGGTCTTGCTACCCAATTCACAATTTAAGGTATCAAGAGAGCAGTGTAGAGAGATCAGATTCAGGAGAGATCTAACTTGGTGGGTTGGTGATTGATCATGAATAAAAATTCTAGGCTCTCTCTATTTTTTTCTTTCTTTGGTTAAATGTAATTGCTCTCTCTCTCCTACTCTTTCCTTTCTCTATTTTCCATTTAGAAAAAATTTCTTATTCCCCCTGTATTCCCTTCTTTATTAATAGAACAGTTAACAATTTCAAAAAAAAAAAAAAAAGCAAAAAAACAAAAAAAAAAACAAAACAAATTTGTGGGGTATTTTCTTCTGTGACAAGTGAATCTTAGTTTCATTAATATTTATTTTTTCAGATCAGTGCATGTAGAGGCATGTTGAACAAGGACACTAGAGAGAAGAAAGATAGAGATGTGTTTGCATGTTGTAGGCAACCACGAGATAAAGAGAGAAATACTTTTGCAAGTTGTAGGGGGGCAGTGGAGAAAGAATAGATTGTTTTGCATGTTGTAGGGGTCACTGAGAGAGATGGTTTGGGAGAAATGGCTGGGTTTCTGAAGGCGTATCTGCCACTGAAAGAGATGGAGAAGGCTCCTGGTTCAGTCAATCTATTGTGAAATGCTCTCTTGGAGTGCTCAGCAATAGCTAGAGATTGCCTATTCAAGACAACCCACCCCTAATTTATAATTTATGAAAGCTACCGCTAACTTACTCTATGACAACTCTACACCTCCCCCTTTAAATGAAGATGGGGAATGAGGGTATCAAATGCTTGGGCTTTCTAATTTGCTACTCATCCTGTGCAGCATTTTTTAGGTTTTGGGTGTTGAAGCTCTCAGAAGAGAGAGAGAAAGAGACAAGAGGAGTACTAAAGAGGGAAATTGGGGTGGTTATTAGACATCCAGGAGAAAGAATGGGAGAGAGAACCTGGCAAAAAAAAAATAAAGATTGAGACAGAGAACCTGGTTCGATTTTGGGGGCAGCATGAGAGAGAGAAGGAGAGAGAGAGAGCTCATTGAGGGAGGGGTGAAGAGAGAAAACCTATTTGTTGAGAAGGGGACTAATGGACGGACTAGCGCCTAGGTGCCCAAGGGGCCTTAGGCTACACACCTAGGCCTAGGCACCCTTTCTAGGCGCCAATATCTTGGTGACACCTTGCACCTAGTTATGGGCTGGCATCCACGGTAGTTTAAAGAAGCCCCCAAATCGATTAATTCAGGTGATCACAAATAATGTTGCTCCTAATTTAGTTGCCAATCATTTGTTTCGCCAAAAAAGGCCTCGCATTTTTTGGACTCTTAGTGTTACACATTGCGTAGATCTTATGCTTGAGGCCATTGGTGATATATCTACTATTAAAGGCGTTCTTTCTAAGGCTAAGGAGGCTACCGTCTTTATATATAACCCCACCATTAACTTAAAGCATGATGTGCATGTTTACAAAGAAGCAGGAACTAGTGAGGCTCGAGACACTAGATTTGCCACTGTCTACCTTAGTCTTAAGAGCATGTATAAAAGAAGGATCCCATTAAGGATTACATTTATGCATGAATAAAAAGATGATCCAATTAAGCACTACATTTACTTCAGAGGATTGGAGCAAGTGTAGGTGCTTTCGAGATGCCAAAGGAAAGAAGGCACAGGTTATTATTCTGTCTAAAAAAATTTGGCAGGGGATAAAGGCAATACAAGTTTGGGAATCCCTCATCCTTAGCATTTCTTTCTCACTCATTTTGCAATTGTTCTTTTTGTTTCTATCAAGGTGGACAATGATTCTATGACATGTTAGGGAAGCCCCCATCCCTTCCCTCTTTCCCCCCACCCAAAAAAAAAAACAAAAAAAACCACAACATAATGCACATCCATGAGTGCTACAGCTAATAATTTCCATCATCATGTAGTAAATATCCTGAAGTATGTAAAACAATCAGCATTCTAACCCAAAAATTAATGGTCAAATCCTTGGGTAAGTGACCAAGCTGCGCCTTTTCTTCCCAACACAACCTAAGATAATGACTTTTGACTCGAACCAATTCAGAATTCAAAGCTCTCATGTTCCAATGTTGCATACACAGGGTTCAAAAGGCTCAATAATCCATATAGAGAAGAATTTGTTTTTTATAGTGCACAACTATTAATTAGACAACTAGGATTTGTTCCTCCAGTTCAAATCCTTGCCAGAGAGCCTTCATGCTTGTGTATAAAAAATTAAGTAAGAGTTGCTTTACAAAAAATAAGGATAAGAGTTTGTGTTACAAACTATATTTAGGGGTCCAGGGCGAGGAAGTAAAATTATAAGCAAAGATGATTTTCAAATGCATGTTATACAGGTTTTTTTTGTCCTTTTCCATGAGTAATAAATCAAATAAATGAAAGCTGCACACATAATATACATATGGACACAAATTAATGCAAAAGTACTGGGATAGTCCGGAAACTACCAGACTAATTGTGCTGGAGGTTCTCCCCAGACCCAAAGCCATGAACAAGCATTTGATATGAATTTGTTAGATAAACTGAAATTTTCTTGCAAGTAGAAAATTAAAGCGATAGGAAGACAATAATTTTATTCTACAAAGGTATATGCAATAAGAAAGTCAGCAATCTTTTCTTGGTTAGCTCACAAGGCAATAGTGCAGTAAATGATCAAGCTTAGATTGAGAATTTGAAGATCTTTCCACATAGATTGCTCTACTGGGCTCTATACAGATTTGTAAGTCGAGATTGACCAGTACCATCCAATTCTGACTAACTTTGCACATCAATAGTAGTTATCTACTGACAAAAGAGGTAAAAAATGGAATGGAGAGTAATTTTGTACCTAGAAGAAGTAGATTTTGGAATGTCAAATCAACAAGGAGAATCTACGCCACCCACCTGTGGTTTATTGGAGAAGCATGCTAAGGTACATGGTGTAAGATATCTCATGCATGTCAGTTGTCACCAAATTGGAGCTCAAATGACAAGACCTGCACAAATTGGTAATGGACATGGTTTTCAGTTTGATGTAAACAACCACGTCTTTATATTTGTGAAATTTGCTCAACTGCCGGCAGCTGCAAATATGAACTCACCTAACCATAGAGTTTCAATCCGGCAACTTGATTTCTCTTTATAGAGAAATTTATGCTCATGTCCCCCTAATAATTCTGTTATTTAAACGATTCCTCCAAAATGCCGTATATTACGTCAAGACCCATTTTATCAACTTCTATTTTCTCCCAAAATGCCCCACTTCAGACCTTCAAAATCCAAAATCATAATTGTTGTTATGACTCCAGAACTTGAAGATTTGAAATAATTGTTTTTAATTATGACTGCAGACCTTCGAGATCCAAATTCATCTCTTGGCTTCAGACCTTGAAGATCTGAAATCAAGACTCGTATCAATCTTGGCATTGGACCTTCAGAGTACGAAGCCAAAGACTTCAAAAAAATTGAAGTCTATCCTAGAATAACTACTAAAGCCAATAAATTTTTTTAAAGTCTTTGGCTTCGGACCTTGAAGGTCTAAAGCCAAGACCTATATTTTGAGACATGAATCTTGACTTCAGACCTTGAAGGTCAGAAGCCAAAAGATAACTTCGAATCTTCAAAGTTAAAAGCCATCAGTTGAAAGAATTACTTTTGATCCTCAAGATCCAAAGTCATCGCATAAATTGTGACTTCAAACCTTGAAGGTCCGAAGTGAGACAATTTTGAAAAATAAATAAATAAAAATAAAAAAGGCGAATGAACATAAAATACAATATTTTCAGGGGTATATTTTTAATAACATAAATTTAGGGGGACATGAGCATAAATTTCCTTCTTTATATTTGCCAATACTTTGGGATTAATAGCAGGAAAAATAGTTGAGCCCGGCATTATATACGAGATCTTTCATCCAACATCCGAAGATTAGCTAGATCTATAGAGATCATTAAAATTGCAAGTCATTATGTTTAAAACAGGCCTCTCATTGAGTGTTGGTTCCCGTTTTCCGCTTCTGAAAGTGAAAATGGGTTTCTCATTATACTCTTGTTTCTTCCTATATAAAGTTCAAGTTCTCAACTGCAAGAGACTCATATTTTTTTCCGTTTTCCACCTTATGAAATCTTTCCAATAATCTCCGAGCTTGTCCCCTTTTACCGGGTTTGGCAAAGATTTCAGTGATAAGACCTAGAGTATCTTCACTTAGAGAATAGCCTTTATCATTTGCCTCTTTCAATAATCTTTTCACCTGAGGTCCATTTGACAGTTTGCACCAACCACTGATCAGTATATTGTATGTCGATGAATTGGGCTCCACTCCTCTTCTTTGCATCTCATTTACGAATTCATTAGCCTGCTTCATCAGGCCCACCTTCGCAAAATCGCTAATAAGCACATTATAGGTCTTGAGCTTGGGAACAAAGCCTTTCTGCACCATTTCACAGTACCATCTCATGGCTTCCTTCTTATTGCTTTTCCTTCCATACCCACTTAGTATAATATCATAAGTAAAAAAATTTGGAACCAACCCTCTTCTCAACAACTCATTCATAAGCCCCTCTGCCTCTTGCATCAATCCGACCTTAGAAAGGCCATCTAATAGGGCATTGTAGGTCAAAATATTTGGACAAATTCCTTCCGTTAACATTTGAGAATACACTGAAATGGCATTCTTTAGATGACCGCTCATACAATACCCACGTATAAATGCATTATAAGTGACTATATTCGCAGAAAATCCCTCCTCCAACATTTGGTTTAGCACATGGCTAGCCTTGCTTGTCATCCCATGATCACATAAGATGCCGATAAGAGTGTTATAAGATACCAAATGGGGTACAAATCCTTTTCCTATGAGCTTCTCATGAATCTGAAGAACTGAATTTACCCCGACATTCTTTGAGCATGCCTGAAGCAAAACTCTATGTGTCGTAGAATTGGGGCCAATGCCCACCCCGAACATCTCGTCCAAAATATCTTCAGCCTTTTGCATCTTTCTAGCCTTACAGAGCCCTTGAATTAAAGCATTATAAGTGATAAGATTAGGCACCAGACCATTAGTCTTCATCTCTCTAAATAACTCAAAAGCTTCGTCTAATTTCCCTACTTCGCAAAACGAATCAATCATTGTGTTATATGTGATATCATCAGGGGTTAAACCAGCCGCTTTCATTTCATTAAAAAAGGATAATGCTTCAAGAGGTTTCCCAAGTTTGCATAAACCATTGATGAACACATTGTAAGCAACAACATCAAAGGCAAGATTTCTCTCAGCCATCTCTTGACCAACTTTGAAAGCTTGAGATGGTTTCCCCACTTTAAATAGGCCATCCATTAATGTGGTATAGTTGTAACAATCAGGAGACAAGCCCCCACTTACCATATCTTCAAATAAACGATTAGCTTCCTCAATTTTCCCACTTTTTCCTAAGCCATTTACAAGGGCATCAAGGGTGAAATTGTTTGGCTTTATCCGACTGCTGACCATTTCATTGTATAATTTGTAAGCATCATCTTGATTCCCTAGCTTGAAATAGCCGTCGATCAGGGTGCTGTAAGTGACAATATTCGGGGAGACACTAGAATTTAGCATTTGTTTCAGAAAAGCCATGGCTTCAACTAACAATCCCTTCTTTGTGTACCCATTAATAATGGAAGAGTACGTATAAGTATTAGCCTGTAAATGGTTTCTTTGCATTTCTCTCACTAGAAATTCAGCACCATTCATATCACCTAATTTACAGAGCCCATCAATCCAAACCGAATAAGTGATGTGATTTGGCTTTAGATTAAAATTCAAGATTTGATAAAACATCCTCTCAGCTTCCTTGGGCTTTCCTGCCTTAAAATAACCATTCATAAGCATGGTAAAAATTACACGATCAAAAACAATCCCTTTAACCACCATTTTGCTTTGGAGAATGAATGATTCCACTGATTTGTTAGCTTTGAAGAGTGCATTCATCAGAGTATTGTAAGAGAAATGGTTTGGAGCAATACCCATATTCTCCATCTCTCTAAACAGAGTTTTTGCCTCTGCTAAACTCTCATTCTTGCACAACCCATCAAGCAGCGAACTATAAGTAACCACATCAGGTAGAAAACCACTTCTGACCATTTCTTCATACAACATAAATGCTTCATGAAGCTCCCCTTTCTTACAGTAAGCGTCCAATAAAGTTGTATAAGTAATTAGATTAGGCTCCAGGTCTAAATTTGTGTCATTTCTTTCTCTCGTCATGTTGGTATTCTGAATAGAATCAGAATCCAAAAGCTCTGGTCTGTCTTGATTGTCTTCTCTCTCTAAACCATTACCAAACACTGTAGGGTTCAGAATTTCACCCATTATATCCTTAGCTTTCTCAAAGTCACCAACTCTACAGAACCCATTTATCAAACTGTTATAAGTCACGAGGTCAGGCAAAAGGCCTTCAGATTTCATACTCTCTCTCAGCTCCAAAGCTTTACTCATCGAACCCACTTTGCACTCTCCATCGATCAAAGTATTGAACCCGAAAACATCTACATTAAGCCCGCCCTTAACCATTCCACTCACGAGATTTTCAGCATCACTGAGCTTCATTTTTTGACAAAACCCCTTTACCAAAATATTGGAACTAATCACATCAATCTGTACCCCTTTCTTAACCATCTCTGACAATAAACCAAGCGCTAATTCGACATTTCCTTCCTTACAAAACCCCCAAATCACAGTATTATAACTCACAGTGTCAGGACTAATACTCCTTAACAAATCAAGAGCACTTTTTAATCTACCCAATTTACAATAAGCATGTAAAACGATGTTATATGTATAAATAGAAGGAGAATTTCCATAATTTAGCATTTCTGAGTAGACAATCCATACCTGATCAATCATTCCTGAGCTATTAAAAAGATGCAAAAGCCTATTCCAAGACGAGGGATTGAGGGACTTGATAATTGAATCACAAAAACGAGAAGCAGACGAAAAATGGGTTCTTTCTATAGACAGAGACTCCAAATATCGAATGGTTTCTTCGAAGTTTTTAGTTTGATTGAGGTGGTCTAGTAGAGAGAGAATGAGAGGTTTAGAAGGGGCATTTGCAGGGTCTTTGGAAACATGGGTTTCGATGGGTGGATCAGGATGATGCGATGAGGAATCATGGTTTTTCCTCGAGAAGAGAGAGAATCTAGAGAGAGAAGTTGGGTTTGTCAAAAATTGGAATTTCATGGAGTTTTTGTGACGATAGAATGAGAAATCATGGTTCCTTCGAGAGAAGTTCAGAGAGAGTGAAGAGAGAAAGCTGGTCTCTCGAAACATGAGCTTTTTTAGGGGGCCTCTGAAGAAACGATGATGAATCAGGGTTTTCTCTTGAGAAGTTCTCTGCAAGTGTAGAGAGAGAAAGAGGGTCGTTGCAAACATGACATTTTGACGATAATTTGCAGTGAAATGGAGAGGACCCGTGGTTGCCCCTTGAGAAGTTTAGAGAGAGAGTAGAGAGAGAAAGCTGGAGGGGGCTGATACGTTTACAGAGGCGTTTGCAAAGTTGAGGACGCATACCTAGCACTGGAGACTGTGGCGGAGGGAGAGAGGGAAGGGCGCAGGTCTTAGAGAGAGAGAGAGAACAGTCGCGTTACTGGAACGAGAGAGAAGAGACATGAGAGAGAGAGAGAGAGAGAGTACAGTATGGTTGTGAAATTACACTTTTTGGCGTCCGAAAACCTTTAAGAGTGCGGTTTGTATAGAGCCGATGCTCTAAACAATCAAAGTAAAGCGCGCCTTCAAATAAACAATCAAAGCCTTCAAATAGTGTGAGAAATGTACTTTCAATACGAAAAAACTTTGGGATAGCCTAAAAATATTTTTTCATCTTTGATTATAAAATTTAAAGCTTCAAAAATAGTGTATATCGAGCATATCTATGGACTTAAAAATTAACTGTTTCAAAATACGTTACAAGATATACTATTTCCAAAACTTAAAATCTTTTTTTTTTTTTTCTTGTACTTCACTAGTATGGCGGTAAAAAAAATTAGAATTTCAAACCCTAAAAATATAAAATAGTGTATAGTGTAAAAAAAATTGTTTCATGTGGGTTGGACCGCATTTCTACAATATGCAATTCTAAAATATAAAGCATCCATTATAAAGATGGATATAAATAAGGATCCATCTAAAAATAATTGAAACTAACGGTCTAAATATTTTATTCATAAAATCATTATTTTTATTCTTTGAAATTTATTTATTTTTTATTATTCATGATCTCCATCTTAGAGATTACATGTCCTTAAAAATTGGATCCCAAAATCTATCTCAAAAATAGATTTTTAAGCGTCAACTCATGCCTGCATGGGCTAAGCCATGTCGATATTGTAACACATTATCTAGACAATCCATTTAACCTTAAAAATAAGTATTTACTAATTCGTAAGACCTATACTATTTTTTAAGCTTCAAATTTCATAGTCAAATGTTGGAAATTGATTTTAGAGCCGTCATACAGATTTTTTACTCCCAAAGTACTTTCCATACGAAAATTTGAGGTGGGATTTTATTTTGTTTTTATAAAGTTTAGGCCTTATAAAAGCCGCAGATTTTATATTTAGACATAGTAAATGAGTCATGCATTTAACTAGCCTAAATGAGAGATAACCAAGGGTATTTATCTTAATTGGATGGTATAGCGACGGTAACATGTAAGACGTTGTTGTACAAAGCACCATTCAGATTGAATCTATCCTCTGAAGGCTACAAAATAATTTTACAACCTATCCTCTGAAGGCTACAAAATAATTTTACTTTTTACTTAATCTTTATTTAAATCTTACATTTATCTAAATTTTGAGATGTGAATTATTTTTATAATGGAAACTAAATAATAATAAAAAAATTCAGTAAAAATATTGACTAATTGTTAATTTTGGTCATGTTTTATTCAAATTTTAAAATATTATTGTTAATTTTGTTTGATTCCCTTATAACAACTTAATTTGCACCCTACATTTTAGATAATACAATAACAAATAAATAAATCTAATGTATAATAATTAGTACTGATAGAAATATAGAATTTAGTAACATAAATTTGCAATTATATTTTAATAAAATTAGGAAATTAAATAAATAAATTCATATTTGTAATATGGGATAATTGATAAAGCAACTTGAAATAAATTATAAAGTAGTATGAGCTAGTGTTATTTTTCTCTTTTAAAATATCTCATAAACTAGTATTTTTTTTAATGTTCAATAAACCAGTATTGGTATTATTTTTATTTTTTTTTAATATCCTATGAGCTAGTACAACAATTTTATATAATTATGCTAGTCNCAAATCGAACGGTTTACTGTAGCAAATTGGTAGCTGTTAAATTTTTTTCAAAATTGAGGGCTAATTTTTTTTTTTTTACTATTCAATAAACTAGTATTGGTAATAGTTTTTGTTTTTTTAATATCCTATGAGCTAGTACTATTTTTTTTAATCCCTATTAACTAATATCTTAATATTGATCATATAATGAAATAATGCCTAATATCTTAATAATATTAGTCAATGCAACCATTGTATTACAAGTTGTAAACAGGTATTCTATTGTAAATAGATATTCCAATAGAAAACGACGTGGAAGATAGATCATGATTGTTGTCCTACATCGAAGAGATGTGGGAAGAAAATGGGCTATAAAAGAAACAGCCTCAATATCTACACATGTCAAATTGACCTTCACAAATAAGTAAATCTAATATATAATAATTAGTGTGGATGGAAATATAGAATTTAGAAATATAAATTTACAATCATATTTTAATAAAATTAATAAATAAATTCATACTTACAATGTGGGATAATTGATAAAGCAACTTAAAAATAAATTCTTAAGTGGTATAAGTTAGTGTTATTTTTCTCGCTTAAAATATTTCAGAAACTATTTTTTTTTAATGTTCATATTTTTTGCTTTTCTTAATATATTATGAGCTAATACTATTTTTTTTTATCCTAATTAGCTAATATCCTAATATGAATCATATAATGAAATAATCCCATGAAAAAAATAGTCTAATAGTATTAGTCTCTTTATTTTAGTTTATGGGTAAGTAAATTTAAACTTTTTTGGTGAAAGATAAAGGTGGTTGGCCCTAACATCCAATTATTATTTTTAATAGTTTTCTTTATTTTTTTTATCATGCAATTTAATGTCGGGCACACACCCCTTGTATTCTTTATGTAGGTGAAACAGTACTAATCTATGAAACAAATTTAATTGACGGCCCACCCATCCCCTAATAGTACTAATCTATGATAAAATGTACATTTATAGAGGTGAAATAAATTTTGGGTCGGGCTATGAAAATTGTCCCACATCAAATAGATGTGGAACAAAAAAGTATATAAAATAAGTTGAAACAACTAAACAACAATGAGTTGTTTGGAGGTAGGGTTGTGAGCAAGGTCTAGTCTAGGCCCAATAAGAAAAATGACACACGGCCTAAATTGGATGTTTCAACACCTTTTAGATAATGTGAAGATGAACTATTTATAGAATTAGAAAACTTTTTTTTTATATATAATGTGAAGATGAACTATTTTTAGAATTAGAAAACCTTTTTTTATATATATGAATCTCGAGGTTGAAATGACCGATTTTAGAGTTTTCTAACATAAAAATAAACTTATCTAGTGGGTTTTTTAGGTACACTTTCGTCTTACAGTGTAAGGTTGACACCTATATAAACTTTTTCCTTCTTCATATGGATTAAGATTGGCCAATTTCTTGAATGGACCTTTTCATCCATAGCAATTATTGAGGCGAGCATGGAGGGTATGATGCCTTGTTATGTGAATATCGAAAAGTGAAGTCCTAGTGTGTAAATGTAAATGTAAATGTTCATGGAGTTTGAGCGTCTTTAAAGTTTAAACGCCATAAAAGAAGCCATTGCCCTGGTCATAGAGGTGTCCTTCATATTTCGGTTTTAGGGTTTCTACTGTGTTTAAGAATGTTTGAATCGGGACATGTTGGTCGTCAAGAAGATCAAACCACCTACAAAGATTGATAAAATAATTTATTTACCTTAGAAATGATTATTTCATAAATATCTCTCACTAGATCCCTCCTCAATTATTTAGTTAGAAACATCTAAATTGTCCCTCAAAATGATGCAAATAATCTTGGTTGTTTTGGGTTTGAAACCTACTATCTTGTTTAGAGTTTTGAATATGGAATAAGTGAAAGTATTTTGGGATTCTAGCCCCACTTAAGTGGCATGAGTTAAGTGTCCATTATATATAATGCTGGTGTAGGCCCACTAGCCTATAACTACATATAGGTCCAACTGTCCAGATTCAATCTTGACGATTTGATGGACACGATCTCATTTCGTATTTCAATTTCAAGTTTTTTTCTATAAATCCAAATCATGTAAAATTGTAGGCATCTATTCTTTCCATCAACGCACACCTAATAAAAATAATAAAAATAATAATTTATAAGATATAAATTGACTAAAATACCTCTACAATATTTCAAAGATATTTAGTCAATTTATTTTTCACAAAAGATTTTTTTGATATTTTTATTGGATTATAATATTTTTTAAAAAACACACGCCTAATATTTCAAGTGATTTGGATTTATATAAACATAAATAAAATTCAAATACGAAATACACTGGTGATCATTAGAACGGTCCAAATTCAATCTAGGATGTAGGCTAGTGGGCCTACGCTAGTATTTCCCTATATGGATCGATCTAGATTCAATCGGTACAGGAAAAGTTGTTCATGAGTTAATGGGTACAAGAGCCCGATGACTCACGAACTTGTAAAAAATCGGCCGAGCTAAAATAAATATAGATTGGGTAGAAATATCCCTAAAAGAATCACCTTTTAAATGTTGAAAATTTTATTTTATTTTTCATATTTGTGATCATATTAGCCTATATCATGAATCCGTAAAATTTTGGATTGAAAATCAACGTTTAAGATAGATTTGAGATGGGGCCCACATATGAACAATATGACGTGTCAAATAAAACTTGTCCTGTAACATAACATTATACTAACCAATCGTGGTGGTAAACAGTAGGAGGCTCCTATTATTTGATATTAAAAATTGAAGTTCTTATGAAGGCTTTCTATGTGACTCATATGCCTATTATATGTGACCCCGTTTCTCTGTCGTCAGATCCGAATTAATGGTTGAGATTGCTCATGTCACAATGTCACATCAAAACATTGTTTGACTTTTAAATTCTTTTCTTTCCACAAAACCTTTTTGAGTAAAATTATGGGTGTATCATCTTCTTATTGGGCTATATCTAGAAAAAACAAAAAATATTATTGTAAAAATAAATGACCAAAATACCTTCAAAAGTTTTAGAGGTATTTGGTAACTTTCTATAAAGGGAAATATTTTATTATTATTTTTATCATGTGTAACCTATCAGACGTATGCATACCCCAAATTTCGTTACAAAATGATTTATAGAATAAATATTAAAAAGAAAGAAAAATACCTCCATATCCCATATGTTTAGGTTTCATTTTTTGATAAAGTCAATGTTTCAAAAGATATCTTTTAACCCTCTGACCACTTTAAAAATATTTTTTAACCTAAGCAAATGTGAAAAAGACATGCACTCTCATCAAATCTCGCTATGGTTACAAAGTTGCTCTTTCCAAAACCGTGCTCTCTTTGATAGCAGCGCTGCATTTGTCAAAGACGACCTAGCCTTTGTTCTCTTGAAGGCATCGTCCTTCAAATCCCTGATTAAAAGAACAACCTCCTCTTCACAAACCAGAGCAACACAAAAATTAGCAAATGATTCAAGGCTCTCTGAAAACCTAGCAGCTCTCAAATCCCAGTAGAAATCGAGCTTTTGGCCATCGATTTTGAAGGATTTGAACCCCTTTTTTATCCAAAAGTACCATAGTTTGAGCTTGATTTTGCATATGTAGTGATTCTCTGAAGTGCCTAGTTTTTCTAGGGCAATGGAGAGGCCATGCGCCACTAGGTTTTTACACCAGGTCATTGTGACTTGATGCTGGAACCCAGCTATTTCTGCTTCATAGAGGCAATTCACGATGCTCTGGTTCAACATTGGCCAGGTCTTCCACCGGTGTTTCACCGGAAAACTAGCAGGAATGTGGACAGAGTCTTGCATTGAATCGAAATAAGGAATGTGATAAGGGATATTTTCATCAATAGATAATAAAGAGAATATCAAGTGATGATGCGAAGAGAGAGAGAGAGCAGAAAGAAAGAAAGAGAATGAGGGGAGAGAGATAAAAAAGACAGAGAGAGTGAAAGGGTGCATAGAGAGGGAGAGAGAAAGAGAGAAAAGTTTAGGAGGATGGCTTTTAAAAAAGACATTTTTTTTAATATTTGTTTAGTTTAAAAAAACAAGTTTAAATTAGTTAAGGGGATTAGAATAAAAAAAATCTACAGTTTTTATGCTTCAAGATATCTTTTAAAACCTTGGGTCTATTGTGAAATGAAATATAAAATTAGAGAATATGAGAAGAGAGAGTAAAAGTTTTTTTAGAGAGTAAAATTTTTTTTTGTTAATAAATTAAAAAGCGTACAAGTTTGTAGGATTTGCATTCTTCACATTGCAAAGCTCAGTACTCAAGCTTGAAACTAGATCGAGGCCCAAAACTCACGCTGCTACCTGTTGTATGATTGTTGCCACTGCCTACTGCTGGGATCTTGCAGCACCTCAAAGATCGATGTATAGAGAAAATTATTGTGATCTGCTTGAGATAAGTCAGACATTAGCTATTTGAGCAATCTCTCGATCCTCGTAGGAGCAAGTTGCTTGTATCGGTGCTTGCTAAAGATGGTGGTGTTTTAAAGGTTTCTGATTCTCTTTTTAGTGCTTTGCAACTACCACAGAACCCTTTTGTTGTCGGGCTCTCGTCTAAGGCCAGATTTGAATCCCGCTACTGAATCCACCTCTGAAAGTAGCCTCTGAAAAAGGCTGATCTGCACCATCTGCAAAACAACCACCGAGTCGTATTTCGACTATCTGATTTATCTCTTTGAGACTGTGTTTCGATATCTGATCTGTTTTGGATCTTACTGTTCTCAACTCTGAATCTAAGGTCCAATTGTGCTTGTTGATCCGCCACTAAATTCTGTTTATTCTTTCGAGTGCCTGATGTTTAATGATCGAATTTCTCGATCTTGATTGATGATCAAGTTTTCTATTACTCGATCATGTTTAATTATTGAGTTTTTCGTTACTCAATCCTATTGGATAATTGAGTTTTTTGTTACTCTATCCTGTGTGATGATCAAGTTTTTTTCGTTAATCGATCATGTTTGTTCCAGAGGCCTATTGACTTGTTGGTATATGAGACTGCTATGTTCAAGCCATTGGTTTCTGATGATTGCTAAGTTTTTGTTGTTCAAACTTTTTTTATTCTTGCTTTGCTTTTAGGGCCTGCCTTCAGTTGTCCAAACTCAAGTTGTTCTTTCTTAACATGTCTTGAGTTTGAGAGGGAATGTGAAAATTATAGAAACTTACACTCATTTTTTGGTACGATATTTTACTTCCTTTTATGTGTACATATATATGATAATTTTTTTTATTAGTGCCCAACTTTGTAACCCTATAAATTGGCGCTCTTGTTCACATCTTCAATAAACTCTGAAATACATCTTTCATGGGGGCTTAAAGCCTACATATACAAAAATACAATTCATATCAGGTACAAGGTGGTCATAACTAATCTTGACCATTGGAAGTGAAATTGGGTGGTTGCATTTATTTCACTGATGAAGCTCAAAGTTCAAAATAATTTTTCTCGAACTTTGTGACACACCCAAGCTATCAGATTTCACATCGGACGGTTATAAGTAATTGTGACCTCTTTGTACTAAAAGTAAATGGTCTCGTTATATACAATCTCTTTTTTTATAAACGTATGTTAGAGCTCACACTACAAAGTATTTTATAATTGAACTCAACAAATTTTGAACACTTATATACCCTTATTTTGTACACAGAGTATTTTTTTAATAATGATATTTTGGTCATTAAGAGTTCTTATTTTGTACATGAAGATTTTTTTAGTAATAGTATTTTTGCTCATTAAGAGGGTGTGACATCACTCGTATGGAGCAAACTAGTGGCATTTTAATGCTCCATGTGGGTAATGCCATAGATATCTTAATGACGAAAAATACCCTTACTAAAAAGTTATTGTATGCAAAACAAAAAGTATATTCTATAGTGTGAGCACCTTAAAGTTTGGAAGGTCCACTCTTCTTATTAAACCACACCTAATAAAAATATTAATTCACAAAAATAATTTATGCAAAATATGCCTAAAAGTTTTCAGACGTATTGGTCAAGTTTTTTTTTAGATTATTTTTTAATATTTTTATTAGATGTGTCTATTTTTTTAGAGTAGATGTTCAAAATTTCAAATGATTTAAAAAAAAAAAAACTTAAAATTTAGAAATAAAACATAATTTTATCCATCCAACTTATCCGGATTCAATTTATGTCATTGAACTTAGTATTACATCATCCCTTAGGCCTCGCATAATCTTTTTCTTGAAAGGAAGGTGCGAGCTGAGCTGCGGATGAGGATGAGGATGAGGATGAGGATGAGGATGAGGTAGTGAATGATAGGGACTCTAGAGAGAGAGAGAGAGAGAGAGAATGGTGGGGATTTCTCTATGATAGAAACTGTGATAGGAGTTGGCATGGGCCTTATGACTCCAAATTTGTTATCCTTGGAATGTCAACCGAAAATCCCCCCAATATTAATGAAAGAAGTCTATGTCCATCTTGCAACTTGCATCAATCACTCACAAACTCCATAAAATCTATCTTTTTAATCTCTTTCTCTCTAGAATTGGTGAAGTCTAAGAAAAAGAAGTCGCAGAACAGCTCATTGGCGTTGGACAAACACTGATGCTTAAAAGCCTAAAAATTAAAACGTGATATAACAATTGAAACAGACCCAATAAATTGATTGAGAGCAAAATAGATGGAGTGAGGATGAGCGTCAAGCTGAGATCTAAGAGAGACGTGTGTTGTGAAAGTTGAGATCTAGAGAGAGATATGTGCTGTGAAGGTGGTGATAGCAGGTTCATATTTTATCTCAGAAACCTTTTCGAGAGGCGAGAAAATTAACTTTTTGCAAATTTGGGTTGTGTTTTCCTCTCTCTCACTTCTCATATTTATGGGAAAGAAGATGGACCCAATGTTTTATTTCTCAACCGGTCTTGAGAAACAAACTCTCAGATTTCAGGATGTTTATCCTCAACTGCTGAAAAGAAAAACTTAAAAAAATAATTATTTATTCATGTATGATACCTAAGAAAGTCTTTTAACAATAGATAAACATTAAAATAAGAGTGTGGTTTTTATAAGGTCGCAACTTTAAACCATCCAATTAAAAGCGCACCTCCAAAATTTATAATAACATGTAAATTTGTTGTAAAAAATTATTAAGATTATCTAAAAATATATTTTTATATCTAATTACAAACTTTTAAATTTAAAAAATGGTTAAAATTAAGTAGATCTATAAACATATGAAAATCTTGAAAATGAACAATCTAGATAATGTGTTGCATGATGTACTATTTATGGCACTCAAAATACTTTTTTTTTTCATACTCATACATCTTGGTGTTTAGATAACCAATTAAAGGGTTTCAATACTAAAACAATATTTTTTGACGGATTTTTAAAGTGCATCTTTAATTCTACATTTTAAGATTGCAACCTTATATAAATATTTTCCTTAAAATAAATATCATGCAATCTTCCCATAAAAAAAGGTGAGGCAAGAAGCCTCATGTGGCAACATTAATAAAGAGTAAATGAACTTCATTTACCTCAATGAAGTTCCAGCTTACAATCGACTAAAAAAGAAATATATTAAAAAAGAAAAAGGAAAAATTGAGGATACCCTGTGGAGCTTCTTCCTCGGAAATATTGTTTAGACCGCAACACTAACTTCAATATTATTTACTTTTTGTATCGAGCTCAAAAATAAAAATTAATTATTTTTTAATGAAAATATCCCCTATATTTTACGTTTCTCTCAAGGAAAAAAGTCAAGCCGATATGACACAATATGTATCGGAGTGGCTCTAACAAAGACCAAAAGTCTGTTTGGCATACATTGTGTTTGACCGCCTTGACTTTTAAAATGAAGTCGGTCTACCACAATGTGTCAAACTAGTTATGATGGAGACAAGAAGTTGGCCATGCAAACAATGTGTTAGACTAGCTTCATTTTTTAAAATGAAACCGGTCTACGATATCGTGTGTTGGAACCACTTCAATAGAGTTGGTTTGGTATATTATTTGTTGGACCGACTTTACTTAAAAAATGACAAGTACACAAAAAGATCATTTATTTTTAGTACAAAAAAAATCACAATCAATCTTATCCATCATATTTTAAAACGGATAGCTATAAATGTGACTCAAAGTTCAAAAAAAAAATTATCAAATATTATGACATATCCCAAGCCATCTAATTTGACATCCAATAGCTTGGTGTTATTATGACTTTACTTTAACAATAGTAACTAGTCTCATGGTATACAATCCCTTTAAAAAACGAGGGAACGGGAAGGGTGTTGAGAGAAACATGGGATACATGAATATTTTTAATAAAAATTTACTTTTTCATTTAGGATGTGTTGGTAAATATCAAATTGAATGGCTTGGGGGTGAGATTAAGAATTTTTTTAATGAAAATTTGTATTTGTTTAATGACACCCTCGCAACCGCTCATTTTAAAATTTAATGGACAATAATGATTGTTACCTCCAAACACAAAAGATAAATAGTATTTTTGTAGATAATCCCATAAATAAATATAGGGAAAGATGAGGACAGATAGAACAATTATAAAAAAAAAAACATAGGTATACTATGCTCCTATGGAGTATAATTCACTTGTACTCCCTCAGGAGACGTATTTGGTAGGAGAAAATGCATGGGGGAGAGAGAGAGGATTTATAGAGAGAGATTTGGCATTAGCAGTGAGAAGATTTTAGCACAAGTACACAGACAGAGAGACACTTGGTACAACTGGGCAAGAGAGCTCAATGACACGCCTCATCAGCTCTTTATAGTGGTGGGCCTACAAAGTCGATAAGGAAAAGGTTTATACAGAGCCGAGGCTCTAAACTATCAAATTAAACCCACCTCAAAATTTTCACGAGAAGAAGTTGTTTGACACCTAAATATTCAAATTGTCCATCTTGACGTTAAGATGTACAATCATAAGAAAAAAAATGAATTTCAAGTTCTGAAAATAATGCATCTTGTAGCGTATTTTTAGACTGTTAATTTACAAAATTTTTAAATTTTTATAGATCTGATAAATCTGTACTATATTTTGAGCTTCAAATTTTATAATTAAAAATAAAAAAATATATTTTACAGCTATCACAAAACTTTTCAATATTAAAACTATATTTCTTCGATACTTTTTGAAGGTATACTTTACTTTGATTGTTCATGGGGTCGGCTCTATTCAAACGGTTGATTGTTTGATAGGGCTGCATCTTTATTAAAACGAGTAAAGCGTCATCTTAAACCTCATTGAATTTTGTAATTTAAGATTTGAAAAATCTTTACATTGATCATATTGGCCTGAACATTATGGTTGTAATAAAAAAAAAGATTTTAAACTCTAAAAATAGTGTTTATCGTAGCAAATTGTCTAGACTGTCCATTTCGTTCTAAAAATAAGTATTTAGGATTCACAAGTTCTTTAAGATTTTTTGAGTTCCAAACTTTATAATTGGTGTTGAAAATTGATTTAGAACCGTCATATTGCTTTCATAAAGCCTAGGCCTTATAGAAACCTAATCACTCAGAGAGTATACGTGCCAACCAAATTGTTACAGTGGATCCAATTTCTGATTCCCTGTCAAAAACGAAACCGGATGGACGGTCCAGCACGCAAAGGCATGCCCACCTAAATCATCCGCACCGTCCATGCTTCAATGGCAAACAAATTCACAAAAGAAGGAAATGCCGTTGCACAAAAAAACCGCAGAGACGACTAAATCACTGCAACAACGGGCGGTCTAGATTCCATCCAGGTCACGAGTTGCCACGTGGGAATTGGACGGCTGAGATGCACATCGACCAATTGGATCGAAAGATCAGGACCGTTAAATAATTATAAAGAGATCATATCCCTCAACAATAAAACAAAGGATTGCCCCCTTACCATATAAATATGAGAGGTAGAGAGAGAGAGAGAGAGAGAGAGAGAGAGACGAGAATGTTGTATTTTATTTTGGGCGGGTATTGGAAAATGAGGAAATATTTGGGTTTGTTTTTGGTATTTGCGCATTGGGTCTCTGAAACCCACTGCTCTGTGTCTCTGTCTGTGTCCTCTCAGCTTCTTGTTGGCATCACACTGGTTCCTGGGGCTCAAAGCAAAGGAGCAGGCAAATCTCTCTTTCTCTCTCTTCAATATTCTCTCTCTTCAATCTTTCTCTCTCTCTACATTTCTTTGTTTTGTGTATCTAAGTTGTGGAATTTTTCTCCCAAAAGAGATGCAGTTCCTTTCCTTTCTCCTTACTAAAACGGATTAAAGTTATCTGCTCTCTCCTCATATGTTCTCTCTCTCATGTGTTCTCTCTCTCTCATGTGAAAATGGAGGACCACTCTCTCTCTCATGTCTTCTCTCTCTTGTGTTTGATTTGCAGTCCCACTCTTTTCTATTCATTTTCTGACCATATCAGCCCTCTCAGTCATACTGATCATCTCTCTCTCTCTCTCTACTTTTGCCCACCTCTCTCTCTCTCTCTCTCTCTTATTTTTGCCATCTCTCTCTCTCTTTCATGAACTTTTTGTCCATGTGTGAATCTGTTCCCCCAAAGTTGGATAGGTACAGGTACAAACCCACACTAAGTGAGTGAATTATGGCCTTTTTTTTTTAAAGAAAAAAAGATATAGCTTGATTACCCTAATTATGCTTATAGCTTGTCTTAATATAATTTTTTTTACAGTAATTATTTTTTTGATTATTTTTTTTCCCAGTAATTAAGATTGCATTTATGCTAAAATGAATGTGTTTATGTTTATACAGTTTGTTTAGATGGGAGCTTGCCTGCCTATCACTTACATAGAGGCTTTGGATCCGGATCTGACAATTGGCTTCTCCAATTTGAGGTACAATAAAATCAAATAAAATAAAAATTATTCAATTTTGGGTATTTTTTTTCCCTATTTGTAGATGGATTCAGTGTTTAGATTTTTTAGGGGTATTTGATTTTTAGAATATCAGATTTCCAAAACCGCATCTTTCATAAAAATGGATACCCCAAGTTCTATGATTCCCATGAATGTTGAGTATCCACTTTTTAGTGATAAATATAAGGCAACTCAATACTGCAGTATCCATTTACTTTAATGAAAAAGCTTATATAGAGTCGACGCTCTAAACAATCAAATGAGAGCCCACATAAACATTTTCACTAAAAGAGGTTGCTTTGATGTCTAAATATCCTCAAGTTAATCATCTCGACATCAAGCTGCATGGACATGTGAAAAAAAATAGATTTTAAATTTTAGTATTAGTGCATCGTATAACGCAGCTATAGACCGTCAATTTTCAAGATTTTCAAGTGTTTATAGATCAGCTCGATATACACTATTTTTTAAGCTTTAAATTTCTTAATTCGAGATGAAAATATATTTAAGACTTATCACAAAGATTTCTAGTATTGAAACCATATTTCTCAACACCACATGAATATGCATTTTACTTTGATTGTTTAGAGCACCGGCTTTATACATACTGCACCGCTACTTTTAAAACTTCTCTGTTATCGAACATTGAAAGTTGGTACTAGGAGAGGGTCTTCTAAAAATCAAACACGCCCTTAGATATTTATTATTTAAAAGATCTTAAAACTCTAAAACCTGAACCTAAAACGTTTAAGGATTTTAAACTTTTTTTTTTAAACCTTCGAGTAAAGAAAGTGGATTGTGTGAAGTAGACAGTCAATGTAGAACTTTATCAAAAAAATTTATAAATCCTGAATCACGAGAATACTGAATTTAGAGAGAGAGTCAAAGAATTCTTTCATAAAATTATGGAAAAATTGATCGCTCCCTACTTTGTCTCTCTAGCTCAAAACATCTTAGATCGGTCTTAAATTATGAAATGAGAATACAAGACCAAAATAAAAATTTGGAGAAAAACTTAAAATAATGAAGCGGTAAATAACGAAGAGAGATGAAATTATGAGAAAGAGCAATGATTGAAGGGGGGGGAGAGAGGTCCTTGTTGGGCTCGTCTTCTTTTCAACTTGATCAAAATTTATGATAACCGTTATCAATAAAGATCGTTATGACGGGCAGTTTAAAAAACGGCCAGAGAGCAGACAGAGACGTAATCATTGGGTTTGTCTTTTCTTCTACTTGGACATAATTTATGTTAGCCGTTACCAGCTTACCCTTATAAGAGGACGTTATAACAGTACGTTTAGAAATACGCATTATGCAGTCACGGCCGACGGCCGTTACAAATTCAACATCCGTTACGTTATATGGCCTTTTCCTAGATCTTGTTTATAAGTAGCTCTTCGTCTTTCGTTTGTCAGCAACTCTCCAAACCTCGCCGAATCTTGCAAAATTTCAGTCAAAATTTCGGTGAAATTTCGTTTGTTCCTTGTATTTTCTTTTTATTTAATTTATTTTAAAAAAGTTTACCTGTTTTTTTTTTCTAGGGTGGAGGTTGGTGTAATGATTTGGAATCATGCTTGGAGAGAACAAGAAACCACAGGGGATCTTCCCGCTTCATGAATAGACTCGAAGAATTTTCAGGCATTTTAAGCAATAACGCTTCTCAAAATCCAGGTATTTCACCCTCATGACCCGAATAAATTTGGGCCGGTATTTTTTTTAAAAAAATGTTATTCTTCAATTGTTTCGGTCTTGGAATGAGCGCTGGGCCAGCCTGGTTTAGCGGGGATAGGCTAGTACTGGGCTTCGGCTGACCCTATGGGCACAAGGGGCAGTCCAAGGCCAAGTCTAGCCCGAGCCCGGACCATTGCCACCCTTAGTCCTGGTTAAAATTGTATGAGTTTCCACTCTTACCTACAATCCTTCGTGTTTTGTCTCGAACTTTTGAAAAGGTTTGAAATTTCATAAATTTGGGTGTCTTTGTTTTTTTTTTCCCCAAAATTGAAGTTACTTTTTGGAAATTTCTTTGAATTTCTGCTCGATCAATGCTGGAAACTAAGGGGAGTGTTATTACTTCATATCTTTATTTTGAAAATAAATTTATGAGGAATAATTTTTTTTACTAACTTAAAAGGGGAAAAAAAAATTATATAAGACTTAAAGTAAAGTTATAGTAATTTCTGTTTTATTTAGATAATGTAGATTTCAAACTATCTCAAATAAAGTGTGTTTTTTTTATGTTATTTTACAAGATGTGTTAAATCAACGTCGTCAAACTAAAAATACATAGTATAGAACATTAAAATCTTACTTTTGCATCTAAGGTTCTCACTTCAAATAAATCGTCCTTAGGAAAAAGCCTATATAAGACGTCAACTTTATATCATGGAAGTTAGGTACACCTCAAAAAGGCCAAATACGTTTTTCAGGCATTGAAAATCCCGATTGTGTGGATTAATGCATGTGTGGACATAAAAAAATAATAAGATTTTTAGTCTTAAAAATAGTGCATTTTGTAACACATTCTATAGACAGTCGATTTTCAAGATTTTTAAGTATTGCTCGACCATTAAAAGCTCTAAATTTCATAAAATGAATTTTAATGGAAAGAGTTTCAAAATTCTATATGTCGGAGTTTGAAGGTGAAGTCATACTTTGGATGTTTATGATGGACGCCATATGTAAACGACACCGCTCACTCAAATAAATAAAATACTATCTATTAAAAAAGAGTGCCGTTTGTATAAGGTGCCTACTTATACTATACAAGTAAGGCCACTTATACTATACAAGTAAGGCCATTTCTAAATTTTTTGTGAAGATAAAATACAGGATCAAAACCCTTAGGATGGATTTAAAATCCGCATAATTATTTTTTATAAAATTTAAATTTCTAAAAAACAACGCAGATCAAACAGATCTATAAACATTTCAAAATCTTGAAAGTAGACAATTTAAATAACTTATTACAAGATCAAATATTTTTTTAACTTGGAATTCTCTTTTTTTCTTTATAACATACATTTTAAAATCGAGATGATCGATTAGAAAGTTTTCCAACTTCATAACACGCTTTTCTATGGAATTTTGAGATGCACCTTATTTCTACAATGTATTATTGCAACCTCATATAAACTTTTTACCTTAAAAAAATTCAGGGAATAAAAAGTTATTAAAAAGTATATAAAATATGTGATCGTTAATTAATTGAATGTGGCCCCATATTCCACATTCCAATCCCGTGGGTTTCACAAATTTTTAGTATTATTTTATTGAAAGCATGTTATGTTTGGACCCTCGGGTATTAAATGTGGTCAGCAATGGATTGGAATTTGGGAGTATGAAAACATGTTTGAGTAATGTGGCTCTCAAGATCTTGGTTGTGAATATGTTTCCTGACTTAAACTACTGTTTCAAAATCCGTATCGATGGGGTGCATCATCCACTTTATATATCTACGTTGAATTACTGGATTGGCAATCTGGATAGGTTCGAATCGACACTTTAAAAATATTAAAAATTAAAATAGGGTTTTATAGGGGAAAAAGTATATAAAGATGTCACAATCACTCTTCTCAATCAAATTTCAATTGAGTGGGTGGAAGAGTGTCATAGACTAGACTTAAAAGTTTCTTGAACTTAGTGACACATCTCAAAACATTGAATTTGACATTTAATGAGTAAGAATAATTGTGATCTCCTTATACCAAGGATAAATGGTCTCATAGTATACAATCCCTTTATAAAATGAGATCTGAAGGACACTTAAAACAAATATTAGATAAACTTACAAAAAGTAAAAATAAAAATATAAAATAAGGGTTTTTAGAGGGGTAGTTCCGGGTCAGGACCAATACTTCCTAGAACATGTTTGTTGCTGGCCAATTTAGGGTCCAGATCAACCATCTGGATCTAGAATAACTGGGTTTTAAAACATTGCTTGAAACACATCTTATATCATTACAAATGCATTTATGTAATTGACACTTAATAGAGGTGTTGTATACATGTCTAAAAAGGGGTATTGTACTTGACACTTAATAGAGGTGTCGTATACATGTTGAAGAGATCGACCATGTGTCAGTGTGCAGTAAGTATCGACACAGAGTTAAATCGAAAGACATGTGTGCCTATGTTTCATAGTTCTCAATCTCTTATTTTTAATTATAAACGAATTTATTTGAAGAAATCAAAATATATAATAATAATAATAAGAAAGTAAAAAAGTTTTACATTCCTTATTTTTATTGAAAAACAAGAAACGAAATGGTTATAATTTGAGAACTTTATTCATTGTATATGGACTTGCACTTTATTTGTTCAGACACTTATGTAAAATGATAGCTTATTTTAAAGAGAAAGTATACAAAGCGGCCGTTTACTTTTAAAGAGAAAGTATACAAAGAGGCCCTTTACTTTTAATACATTGAGGCCACAATCACTTTTGTCCATCAAATTTCGAATTGGATCGTTGTGAATGTGTCATTGACTAGAATCAAAATTCAAAAAAAAATTATTGAACTTTGTGACACACCCCAAGCCATCCAATTTGACATCTAATGTCTAGTACCAATTGTGACATCCTTATACCAAAAATAAATAGTCTAATAGTATACAATCCTTATTTTAGATCCACAATTCTAAAATAAAAAAAAATTTGTTTTTAACAATAACATATTGTAATTAAAAAGTTCAAAAAAAGTTACTAAATTATATATGCTTTTTTTCTTGAAAATAAAAACTTTAAGAAATTTATGACAAACATAAACTTTTCTTAATTATTACATGCAATGAATCCTCCTTATTAGAAGCGATTCACAATTTATAAGGAGACAGAAGGTACGCAAGGAAAGTCCACTTGTTCCCACTCTAATGAGAGTTCTCTACTTTGGAAAGACCAAAGACCCAATGGTTGTTAAATTGAGTGAGATTGTCTTTATTGCATGATGAAGACACACATATATCTTGAGAAATTTAAATTTAATGAAGATCAGTAGAAAGATATTAAGACCAGGGGTGGCAATGGGTCCGGTTAGGCTGGACCCAGACCTGAATAGTATCCGGGACCAGGTTTTAAACCCAAGCCCGACTTCTCGGGTCTAAAATTCGGACCCATACCCGGACTCGAGGTCGGGTCTACTCGTTGGTCGGGTCCATTGCCACACCGGTAAGAGAGTAATATGTATAAAATACAAAGAGATATTTTCAAGTGCAAGGGTCTTATTTAAGAAAACATAAAAAAAGTTTATATAAGGTCGTAACCTTATACTATAGAAGTGAGGTGCATCTAAAATATCCAGTAGAAAAGAATGTTTGGAATTTGAAAAACCTTCTAATTGATCGTATCGACCTCAAAATGCATGAATATAAGAAAAAACAAAAAAAAAAAAGAATTTCAAATCTTTATAGCTTTGCTCAATCTATACCAATTTTTAGATTTTGAAATTTCATAATTAGGGTTAAACATAGATTTTCCAATTATTATAAGGTTTCAGACACCAAAACTACATCTTGCAGTAAAATTTAAGAAGGCACATTTCTTGTATGGTATAAAGTGAACACCTTATACAAAACCTCACCATTTAGAAAAAAACGATTCGCACAAGAGAAAACATTCACATGTAAATCGTGAGCATGTCATGAGTTTTCATATGGACAAGATGCATGGTTTATTTATTTTAATTTCGTTTGTTGGTGGCTGTGCATGTCATATATTTGTTGTGCACTATAATTTCAAACAAGTTTTTATTGTGAACGAACTCTATAAAACTTGCATAACCCTTTGATCGAGTACATGTACCTGTACATGAGAAAAGAAGGCCTAACAGAGAAAAAGAAAGAAGGTTAAAAGATGGTAAAATGTTATCATGCAATTCAAAAAAAATTATTGCTTAAGTTATTGACGTAGACCGAAAATTAATTATATTTAAATTAAATTTTAAAATTAATAAGAAAAAAAAAAAATGAATTGGGAGTTAAGTGAGAGAAATAGAAGGAAAGAAGATCAGAGAGTAAAATGAAAAAGAGTTAAAGAGTTAAATGAGAGTGAAATACAACCAATAAAACATAAAACGTTTAGAGGCTACAACAAAGAAGATTTGAGAAGTGAAATGCAACCAATAAAACATAAAAAGTTTGGAGGTAGGAACAAAGAAGATTTGACAACACTGGGATTTTTTGATGAATATTTTTTTCTATTTTGTTCGATCTTCATCAATATCAAGTTGTTTTTATTTTATTTTATTGGATCTTCATCAATATCAACCATGAGTGTTGATTTTATTTTATTTTATTGGATCTTCATCAATATCAACTATGAGTGTTGTGAAGTGTTTGATAAATATTTTTTTTATATTTTATTGAATGTTCATCATCAATATCAACTATGAGTGTCGTCACCGTGAGACTTTACAGTTCTATTCATCCTCAAAAATAGGAGGTAAGAGGACATGAATAAGTTAAAACTAGAATATTTATCCTTACAGTTCTATTCATCCTCAAGGATAAGAGGTAAGAGGATATGACTTAGTTAAAACTAGAATCTATATCCTCTATTAGGTTGGGAGGATCCTCAAAGTTAGGAGGTAAGAGGATATGGCAAATTAAAACTAGAATATTTATCCTCTATTAGGTTGGGAGGTAGGAGGATATGACTAAGTTAAAACTAGAATATTTATCCTCTAATAGAAATGTATATTACATGTGATATAGGGAGAAAATAAAATCGGAATAATAACAATAAAAAAATGGAGAGGGGATGGCTAGGTTAAAACTAGAATATTTATCCTCTAATAGAATTGTATATAACAAGTGATGTAGGGAGAATATAAAATCAAAATAATAACAATAAAAAAAGAAAAGGTGATACAAGGAGAAAATAAAATCAGAATAATGACAAAAAAAAAATAAAGGGTAAGAGATAGGAGGATAAGGTTGGGTTAAAACTAGACTATTGATCATTGTATAACACACCGATATGTGGGGAGAAAATAAAATCAAAATAATAACAATAAAAAAGAAAAAGTGATATAGAGAGAAAATAAAATCAGAATAATAACAATAAAAATACATCACCAAAGTTTATTCCATTATCATTCACTCTTATCTTTACAATGAAAAATTCTCCCCTTTAAATAGAATAAAAAAGAAAAAAAACGATAACTAAGAAAACCTCTTTTTCTCATTGACTGAGACTTCCTCTCTCTTCATCCCCTTATTTTCTTTCTCCTCACGTTATCCCCCTATTTTCTCTCTTCTCACGTCTTAAAAGATTTGGATTCATAACTTTCCACTTTCTAAAAACCACCTCTACAAAATATCCATGTCATTTCTTCCCACAATTTTAGCTAATGAAGAAACTCTCTAAACTAAAAACCACTCTCTAGAAAACATTCATGTCTTCTCTTTCCACAATTTTAGCTAATGAAGAAACTCTCTTAAAAAAAAAGGACAAATATTGCCTACATTGTTAAAAAGATAAACATTGCTAATAAATTATATCTAAATCTTTTTTACCATGTTTAAGACCAACGATTTAGTCAACCGTCCCCACATCTCATCCAATGCAAGAAAAGGCTTAACACCCCTACTATGTAGCCCATAAAAATTCCTAACTAATAAATAAAAAATAGAAATTTGAATTTTTAAAATTTTTTTACATCATTCTCTCCGGGTTGGGAGAAGCTCGACCTCGAGCTTGATTCAAAGTAGATCTCATTCGGTTGGGAAAAGCTCAACCTCGAGCTTGATTCAAAGTGGATCTCCTTCGTCACCATACACTATTTTTTTAACTTAATCTTCTTCTTATCCTCTTCCTTAGCCAAATGTACCTCTATCTTCTTTTTTGGGCTCTCCTTGATCATTTGATTTTTTTCTGGAACTTTGTTCTTTTCGCCAAGGTACTTCTCATCACCGTGGACTATTATTTTTTGACCTTTATCTTCTTTTGGAACTTCATCCTTTTCGTCAACTGTACCTCTCATCACCATGGACTATTTCTTGAACTTTATCTTCTTTTGGAACTTCATCATTTTCCTTAGCCAAGATTATCTCTATCTTCTTTTTTGGCTCCCCATTCATCACCATGGACTATTTCTTGAACTTGATCTTCTTATGGAATTTCATCCTCTTCGTCATCTTCTTGAATTTTATCATCTTCGTCAAGTGTACATTTATCTTCTTTTTTAGGCATTCATATGCACTATGTCCATGGACTATTTTTTGAACTTGATTTTTTTTCTGGAACTTCATCCTCTTCGTCATCTTCTAGAATTTTATCATCTTCGTCAAGTGTACATTTATTTTCTTTTTTAGGCATTCATATGCACTATGTCCATGGACTATTTCTTGAACTTGATATTTTTCTGGAACTTCATTCTTTTCGCCATCTTCTGGAATGTCATCCTCTTCACCAACTGTACCTCTATCTTCTTTTTTGGGCATTCATGTGCACGGTGTCCTGGTTCATGTGACCATGTACTATTTCTTGAACTTGATTTTCTTCTGGAACTTCATCATCTTCGCCAAGTGTACCCTATCTTCTGTTTTTTTTGGCATTCATATGTATGGCGTCCTGGTTCATGGCATCGATAACATGTAAAATTTGCAATATCTTTTTTTTTATTAAATTTCGGTTGGCACGAAACTTCTTCTGGGTGTAAAATCATTCTTTGGTATGTAGTTTCTACTCGTAGAAGCTTCACTTAAAGTCCATGGTCGCCTTATTTAAAGCCCCAATTATGACATCCCTTCTCTCCCACTCCATCCCCGGAATGCACTATTCTTAGAGAGAAAAACACACTTCTACATCTTCTTAACCCATGAGTGCAGAGAATAAAGGCTCTTTTTTTTTTTTTAGGGTACTCTTGGGAACAGGTCCACATGTTCAATATAGAAAAACGTCATCGGTAATGGTAGGGTGAAGATGGTTGATGTAGAAAAACACCATCCTTAATGGTAGGATGAAGGCCATTTACATATCGAGTAACATTTTGTCCTTTCGTTTCGTGGATGTTATTTCGAGCAACTAATCGATAAAACCCCCCCTATAGTATTCCACTTTTTCCTATCGAAGATTTTAGAGTTCTTGAAATAAAATTTGCTATGATCTGCAGAAAGACAATTTTCTTTCAACTTCTTTTTTATCTTTTGCAGGTCATTAATTTTTCATTTCCCACTACGAAGTTGATATTGTTGAACTTGTTCCCACCATGTTGCAGTATACCCACGAAGCTTGGTAGCAACAAGTTTAACCTTACGTTCCTTGGTCGTTAATTTTTCATTTCCCACTACGAAGTCGAGATTATTGAACTTGTTCCCACCATGTTGCAGCATACCCACAAAACTTGTAGCAACAAGTTTAACCTTACGTTTCTTTGAAAATTCACTACATTCAAAATAATTCTCAATTGCACTTAACCAATCAATAAAAGCTTCGATGTAGAGTTTACCATGAAATTTCGAGAAATCGACTTTAATACCAAAATCTTGTGGTCACTCTATAAGAAGCGAATCTTAACGGTAATATTGATCATGCTCGAAATAAACACCCGGAGTTTGTTGTGGGACTACTGGTGCAAGATCAATGTGGCTGCGAGCATCTTCTTCACGATGGACATTGTTCTCCAATTGTTGTAACCTTTGATCCGACCGTTGCATCCCCTGGTTCATCTCAGGTACTTCAGCTCAAACATCTAACTTGTCCCTAGGGATTGTCTATAGCAAGAGTAGGATTAGATTGATTAGTTGTTGGTGGCATTGCAAAAACAACTTGATCTATGGATCTTACTTGCTTTGATACCAATGCATCCCCTTGTTCATCTCACGTACTTCGACTCGAACATCCTCTAAGGCTTTAGCCAAATTTTCTATAGCTTGTCCCCGGCTTATAGGAGTAGGATTAGCTTGATTAGCTTTTGGTGTCATTGTAAAAAAACCGGATCTATAGACCTTACTTGCTCTGATACCAATTGATTATTCTCTCTAGATATAACTTACTTGGATACCAAACTGATGCAGGGAGAAAATAAAATCAGAATAATAACAATAAAAAAAGAAAACCGGATCTATAGATCTTACTTGCTCTGATACTAATTGATTGCTCTCTCTAGATCTAACTTACTCAGGTACCAAACTGATGCAGACAGAAAATAAAATCTGAATAATAACAATAAAAAAAAGAAAAGGTCAAGAGAATTAGCTTGATTAGCTTTTGGTGGCATTACAAAAAAACTGGACCTGGATCTTGCTGATACCAAGTGATTGCTTTCTTTAGATCTAACTTGTTCTAATACCAAACTGATGTAGGAAGAAAATAAATTCAGAATAATAACAATAAAAAAAGAAAAAATTGAGAAAATATGCTCTCTCTCAAACTCTATGAGGGAACTATCTAACTATCTCAAAATCAAATTTTATTCCATTCGCATTCACTCTTATCTTTACAATGAGGGGTTTTTCCCCTTTAAATATAATAAAATATATATAAACAACAACTAAAAAAGAGTTCTCTCTAGAGAGACTTTCTTTCTCCCTATCTTCTCTCTCTTCATCCCACTATTTCCTCTCTACACACGTCATCCCCCTATTTTCTCTCTCCTCACGTCTTAAAAGATTTGGATTGATAACTTCCCCCCTTCTAAAAACCACCCTCTAGAAAATAGCCGTGCTATCTCTCCCCACAATTTTAGCTAATGGAGAAACTCTAAAAAAAAAAGAAAAAAAAAGGCAAATTGTTGCTCTCCCCACAATTTTAACTAATGGAGAAACTCTCTAAAAAAGACAATCTTTGCCTACATTGTTAAAAGATAAACATTGCGAATAAAATCTATCTAAATTTTTTTTATCCTACCAAAGACCAACGATTTAGTCAACCCTAAGTTTCCCCACATCTCACCCAATACAAGAAAAGGCTTAACGCTCTTACCATGTAGCCCATAAAAATTCCTAACTACTAAAAATAAAGAAAAAATAAAAATTTGAATTTTCTAAATTTCTCTGCATCAACAAGACATTGTAATTGTTTAGCAATTTCTTTGTTAATTGTCTAATAGAATTGTATATTACAAGACAATCTAACTGTTCTAAAAAAATTTGCAATTTTTTATTAATTGTTTAATAGGATTGTAAATTACAAGACAATCTATGGTACATGAAGGTAAAAATCGCTCATAGCCATCTGATATGAAGTTGAATAGATTTGAGTGTGTCAAAAAGCGCAATAAATTTTTTTTTTGGACTTGAGAAGAGTCAATGACTCACTCTCAATTACTTGATTTCACATTTAATGGCCATGACCTCTTTCTATTAAAGGTAAATGATGTTATTATGTACTCATCCAATACTTTTGACCTAGAAATCAATTATTCCAAAATATTCCAATTTATAATTCAGTCAACATTAACACTTGATATAATCTATCAATTCATAGGTGTACATCTAAGGGAAGGGCATGAACCATTGGTCTAGATGAGGAGCCTACATATATTCTGTAGAGAAATTCAAATTATGACATTTCTTTTAAACTAGGTAATACAATTAAATAGTGCACATTAAAATTCTCCAAGTAAATCCCAAAAGAAAAATTGGAATAATGGGATAAAGTAAGAATATCACACCCTAAAAAAATCTCAAGTCAAACCCCAAAGAAAATAAATAGTAGAAACATTGATGAAGTAATTATCATGGGAGCTCCATTATTTGTCATCCTTTTTCCATGAATGTCCTAAACAACTAACCTCTTTTCTTCTTTTTTTTGTTTGAAGATGTTTATACATAAAAGGTGGGAAAACTATGAGTTTAATTTTTTAAAAATAAATCACTAACAAAATTAGTTATGAAAATATTAATGATCCAAATAGGGAATCGCTTGATTCAGACCGGATTGAGACCTTGGCAATTTTGGAAGAAAAAGCCAAAAAATCAAAAGAATCTCTCAATCATATAGGTTGAGTCGGATCGGAGACTCGGCCATTAACCCAGCATGTGATCCATTTAAGCTCGGCAACAAACAAGTCAAAGTGTCTGTCCTACATTTCACACACTAGATAAACACAATCAAATTTTTTTTACCTCAATTACATATGTAAGTGGGGATTTTTTTCCCTTCTTTTTGTTGAGTTCTAAATCAAATTTTATTTAGAGGGTCGCAAGGTGATTTGAAGTTTTTAGAGGTTCTGCACCCATCTCAAAAAGTGGATTTAAGATTGAGGAAAGTTTTAGTCTAAAATTCCTTAGGACACATATGAAATTTTGGTGTTACATAAATTTGTCCATTTATGTGCTATGGTAGGCTATGTGTACAGTAACCACCCATTGGCTTGTTTTAAAACACCTCAAAAAATATACTGTGTACACTGTATGACACTATGGCTCATATGAATCAATTTGACACAGTTGGATATTTGTCTCCCCAATCTATTGTTTCAAATGGTTATATGCTCTCGCAGGACCATATTGATCATTATGTACTTTGGGTAATCCATATTTTAGGAACCCTAATTTTGGGGATGAAATCTCCTTAACCTAGTAACCAACCTTAAAACACAAAACTATATAAACTCAATATGTGCTTTAAAAATACTGACATCCTACAATTGAACCAACGTTTTTAAGAATTCTAGATCGGATTGGAACCGTTCGATCCAACCGAAGAATCGGTAGGGTTGTCTTGCTTTCTTGAATATATTGGGAATTGTAGTAACATTGACTGATTCAATGGGTCAGATTGGTGATCCACGGTATTGAAAACAAAAAAGAGAAAAAAAGACAAATTCAAGGGATGAAAAAGGGGGAAAATTACTTAAAATCAAAATCAATTATTTTCTTTCATCCTATGAATCTAGTTCAATAAGAAAAGAAAAAAAAAAAAAAAACCCAAAATCAAAATAAGAGATCGAGCTCAAAATGAAACAGAAAACCCAGATTTTCATCTTTTGTTTTCATCTAATAGGAGCTATTAGTCCAGAAAACTAATTTAGATCCTTAGAGTAATTGAGAGATGATCAAAATTGTGTTTTCTTAAGAAAAAATAGATAAAACAAACATAGGAGGTGAGAATAAAATGGCAAAAATCTGACAGGAAAAAAAATCATAAATCAATATTATATTTTTTTATATTTTGGTTTCGACAAAGTTGTTAGGGATTTTTAAATTAATGTAATAGGAACATTTTGGTGCAACTTTAACAGTATTTATTGTTGAAACAATGAGAAAGAAAGCAAATATTTCCAATTTTGAAGACTCAAACCTCCCTAAATTTGTTTGGACGTTGTTTTCTATTTTGGTTATTAACTGAAGAAATGGTTGTATAGATAGAAAATAACGCTTAAAAACTAAGAATGCTACCTTATAATGTAGAACTACGGATGCCCCTCAAAAATCAATCGGAAAAGGTAGTTTTAATATTGAAAAACCCTTTGATTGATCATCTCGACATCGAGATATATGACTATGAAAAATAAAAAGATTTTAAGTCTTAGAAATAATGTATTTTACAACATATTATCTACACCGTCCATTTTCAAGATTTTCATATGTTTATAGATCTACTTGATTTTAGCCATTTTTGAAATTTAAAATTATATAATTAGATATAAAAATAAATTTTGAGATAATTCTAAGAACATTTTACATCAAAATTATGTACCATGATAAAATTTGAAGGTCACTTTACCTCTACACCTACGGAGGCGTCTGTATGCCAACTGCATACTTTTGATAATAACTTCATGACTTCTTAAAAACAAACTGAGCCGACTTGATCTGTTCTACCTGAGTTGGCCCATCAAGTTTTTGTTTTAAATTGTTACATAAAAGGTTCGGTTTGTATAGAGCCTTAGGCTCTAAACAATCAAATTAGAGCTGACCTTTAAATAGTATAAAAAAATATGGTTTCAATATTGGAAATCTTTGGGATAGCCTTAAAATATATTTTCATCTTTATTTATAAAGTTTAAAGATTAACAAATAGTGTAGATTGACAGATCTATGAAAACTTGAAAATCTTGAAAATTGACGGTCCAAAAATGCATTACAAAATACACTATTTGCAAAACTTGAAATCCACTTTTTTCTCGTGTCCATGTATCTTGATGTCGAGATGATCAACTTGAGGATATTTGGGCATCAAAACAACATCTTATAGTGAAATTTTTGACGTAGGTTTTGATTTGATTGGTCAGAGTCTCGGCTCCATATAAACTTTTCCCATATATAAATCGTCGAGTTTTTAAACATTGTTACATGCCGTAATACACAAATACTAAGGGGAAATACTAAGGGTATTGTTTATTTCCCTAATCATCTAGTTTAATATCTAACAGTTAATAATGATTGTGATCTCTTTTTATAAAAAAAAATAGTTTTATTGTATACATTTTTTTTTTTTAAAAGAAAGTTGAGGATTACATGTAATCAAATTTTTCATAAAAGGTCATAAACACCCTAAGTTGAAAATTCTAAATTAGACATATAGGGTGTGATTTCTATACGAAGTCAGGGAAAAATTATCTCAAACTTCAAATATGGTCAATGGTACATCTTATTTAACATCTGATGAATAGAGTAATTGTGAACTTATGCAAAAAATAAACAATTTTAATGCGAGGGCCTCTGTGTACACCCTTGCCTTTTCATCACATTATGATATTAAGTTGAGTTAATTGCTATGATTATTAAAAGGGTGAGGTTTGTATAGAGCCTAGGCTCTAAACAATCAAATTAGAGCCTACGTTTAAGTAGCATCCAGAAATGTGGTTTCAACATTGAAAATCTTTGTGATAACCTTAAAATATATTTTGATCTTTATTTATAAAGTTTAAAGCTTAAAAAATGGTGTAGATCGACAGATCTATGAAAACTTGAAAATCTTGAAAATTGACGGTAAAAAAATGCATCACAAAATACATTATTTCCAAAACTTGAAATCAATTTTTCCTCATATCCATGCATCTTGATGTCGAGATGATCAATTTAAGGATTTTTGGGCATCAAAACAATCTCGTCTAGTGAAATTTTAGAGGTAGGCCAGAATGTGATTGTTTAGAGCCTCGGCTCTATATAAACTTTTCCCTTGTTAAAATGATGGATTTAACAACATGCTTCTCCTAAATAGGGAAGGAAATTTCTCCAAGTGAGAAGTTGACTTTTTTAATGACAAGTTTCTCTTCATTTTATAACATGAAGCCGGTTCGACACATTATGCGCCAGATCGACTTTTTGTCTCTATTGAAGCTATGTGTCGAACCGACTTCTTGTCTTTATTGAAACCGATATGATACACATTATATTATACTGTCTTCATTATAAGCCATGAAGTCAATCTTGCATAATGTGTGTTGGATCAGCTGCAATTGGGAACATAGCTACTCTAACACACATTTTGTCGAACTGACTTCATTATTAATAATGTAACCGGTCTAATACAATGTATGTAGGATCGGCTTTAATAGAGACAAAAAACTAGTTTGACTTTGACACATAGCCTCAATAGTGATAGGAAACAAAGAGAAAATGTGACTATAAAAAGTGCATTTTTATTAGAAAAGAGGCAACATTTTTACTTGGAGGAGTGGATTCAAAACAAAATAGTGTTGTGTATAAAAATTATTGCGAGGTGGCATGCTTAGAAAATTAATTTTTCCTAAACAAAAAGGAGAGAGGGGAGTTATATACTTCCACATATGGATCATAGTGTTCTTAAATAACATGTTTGCAGACATACCAGATGCATGCTTGTTAAATGTGGGGTACGCATACTAGCCATCCACCCTCTGTTCCCATTGACGGATGGTTGAGATGAGCTATAGTTAGAGTGGGTGTCAATTAGGTGGGGTCGCGCCCCATATTGATATAGTGCTCGCAACACTCTCATTGTAATTAATCCAACGGTGGCAAGGGGCTATGAGATGGCACCTCATTCAAAGAC